CTATTTTCTACGAGCGACGCCTCTGAAACGGGTCAAGTTCGACATTTTTGGGGAAGGAAAGACAGGAAATCGGACGCGGAAACGGAGCGAAGCTCCAGAGATTTTCAGAATAAAGAACGTACTGCCTTCCGGTTGCTTTACTTCTAAAAAAGGTTACTAACTGTGCGGCCCCGTGAGAAGTTATCACCTAGCTAGCGGTCTCCTTTGTTTTTCAGGTCCGTATTGGTGATTATAAAACGGACAGAACATAAAACACAAACCTTTTGGAGCCATGTTGTAGTTTCCTCCTGCTTGTTGTTGTGTTTACTGACGAAGTCACTCGTGTGACTTCGTGCTCGGTCGGTGACAGCTGCTCCCCTGCTGCTTCGCGTCTCGTGGGAAGGGCCAAGCAGCAGCTTACGCGAGCAAGACGTGCTGCTGCAGTAACGTGCTGCTGACGGCTCCCGTGGAAAGAAGGGGTTAGCGTCTTTACAGCAATCCTCATACTAAGCAAGCATGCAGCGACAGTGGAGAGGAAAACTCCCTTTTAACAGGAAGAATCCTGGCTCAGTATAAGCAGCCATCCTCCACGACTCACTGGGGATGGAGAAGACAGAGCAGACACACTTTTTGACCCACTTTTTGACATATATAAACAGAGAAAAAAATATATCGCAATATATATCGTTACCGCACATGCTTCAGATTATATCGCAATATAGATTTGAAGCCATACCGCCCAGCCCTATTTCTATGGCTACATTGTGGTAAGAAATTATTTTCATAAACTGAGAACTTGTCAATAATAGTCTGGATCTTTAGTTTCATGAACAGGTGGTCAGATTTAGATGGAGCCGTAATAAAAGATGAATGGTACTCAACTTGAGACAAAGGTGTTGATTTAGTTAGAAATAGTCACAAATCTGTAGGAACATGTTCTTAAAGGGGTGTATTGTGACTTTTTTTTCTTGAGTTATAATAGTTCTACAGTTGCTACGAAACATGTTTATGAATTTTATTTTCCCTGAATGCCCCTCACATTGAGACTTCAGCTGTTTTATTCTGGACATTTTCAGTACCTTCCAGAATGAGTTGTTTCAGGGTTCTGTCACGTCAAGAAAAACAAGCAGGAGCTGGCCTTGCCCACCCACCCACTGCTAGCAATGGGTACCGAATTCGGTATTTTTTAAGGTACCGACCGAATTCCATAGTACCGACTGAGCACCGATTCACATCATTTGAAACGGTGCCTCGTTTCGGTACTAGGGTTGTCACGGTGTGAAAATTTAACCTCACGGTTATTGTGACCAAAATTATCACCGTTGTCGGTATTATCGTGGTATTTTTTTTAAACGTGTCACATTTTCAGACAACTACATAAGCCCTGTATGTCAGGAAAATATTGCCCTCAGTTTGTGTCTAAATTTTGCCTAAAATGTGTTATTTTGTAATTATGTTGTTTATTTGTTTACATTTTTCCCCTTTAGTCTTTAAAATACCAATATTTGCCCATAACTTCTTATTTTTTGTCTGTTTGATGTCATCATTTTAAAAATATTAGACCAGATGATACTCAGTACTCAAGTAGCCTTCTAATCAGATACTTTTTTACCCTTACTTGAGTAATAAACCCTATATCAGGAAAATATTGTGACATCATATGGTACCAGCTAACGTTCTAGGGTACCTCTTAGCCAATAGCGATGGCAGATTTAAATTCAAATGCAGTGCCGTTTTTACCTGACAACGGCACAACACTGACAGTTTTAGGCAGAATATTTTGTCCGACATTTGTTTTTTTATCAATTAGTCTTATTCCAATATCTCTTATCTGTAATAGTGTTTACTTGATATTTTATGATTTTATGTTTTTATCCTGCTTTTATGCCCGTGTACTGGGAATGTTTTTCTTTTAATGATGTTGTTCAGCACCTTGGGCTTCGGATAATGTTGTAGAAGGTGCTATACAAATAAAATTTGATTGATTGATTGATTGAGAATATTAAAATTTGAACTAGAATGCACTAAAGTGCAAAACTATTGACTACACGTGTCTGCAGCACGATTAGACACACATTTATATAGTTTATCAGAAAAAAAAAGTTGATTTGGGGGGTGACTTGCTCTTTAAAATTCCAGGTTGGTCCCAGTAAAAGATGAAAGCTTGGATTTAAGTTATAAATGGTAACTGGCCTGTATTTGATATAGCGCCTTCTAGAGTTCTTGAAACCCCCCAAGGCGCTTTACAACACAATCAGTCATTCACCCATTCACACACACACATTCACACACTGGTGGGGATGAGCTACGATGTAGCCCTGGGGCGCACTGACCGAGGCGAGGCTGCCGAGCACTGGCGCCACCGGTCCCTCCGACCACCACCAGCAGGTAACGTGGGTTAAGTGTCTTGCCCAAGGACACAGCGACAGACCGAGTGGGGCTCGAACCTGCAACCTTCCGATTACGGGGCGAGCTCTTAACTCCTGTGCCACCGTCGCCCCACAAGTTGTTGGACAAGTTGTCCTCTTCCGTTCCACAGCCGTCCACCGGAATGTTCTCCGGCGCTCCGTCACCTGAAACTCGTATGTGAAGCAAACATGGAGGGTTTTTGGGAGTGTTGATTATTCCTTTGGTGTCCATGGATGTCATACTTTTTTATGAGGTTGGAAAGGAGACGTGTCATGTTTTTTGAGAGCCGGTTTGCCTGCGGGTGCATTTTTGTTGTCGTCAGGCAAGTCCCTGCGCTGCAGCACGGGCCTGTGGAGATTCTTCAGGAGGGAGATCTCTTTCTTCTGAAAGAGTCTTACCGAGAGCTATTAATTATTAACCGGGAGAGCTAACATCAAAGCCGCAGACTTGTGCTGAATTAAGTGGAGGCGGGGGGAGAGTCGGAGCCTGGCAGCATGGAGCTGAGAGGAAACTGGGTGAGAGGGAAAAGCTGAGCTGAGGTTTCACTCTGCTCACTTTTGAACTTTCCAAGTACAAAAAAAACGAGTGAGAGAGAAAAAAGGAGTGAAAAGAGCAACGTTGGTTTACGTAGAGGAGGCAGGATGAGAGGGAAGGGCTGTGTGATGAGATGGAGTCAGCTGGCCGGGTTAATTAGTCTAACGAGATCTAAAAGGCAGATTCACAAACATGTCATCTGCAGGAGGAAATCTAACAGAGATGCTCTATGAACTCGGATGATTCTGGGATCAAAGATCTTTATGGGCCATTCCCATCTGTACCGGGTCGGCCCGGGCCGGGTAGCCCCAGTCGGCCCCAGCCTGGCCCGGTTGATTCCACACATCCTTGCCTTAAGCCCATGTGGGCTGATTCTACCCACCAATCAGAGGCTTGCTCTAATGGAAGGTGTGGATTTGCTGTCAGCAGTGGGTGTGTTGGCCCTGGTCGGCCTGAAGCAGACCCCCTCCAGAAGAGGGCTGAGAATGAGCCTTGGTTGGCCCGGAAAAATACCAGGCCACCCAGATATGTAAACAACCTACGCTACCCGGCCCGGGCCGACCCGGTACAGATGGGAATGGCCCATATGTTTGGCTCCTCCTTCTTGCCGCAGCTCGTCCGAGCAGGAATCATGACTCAGGTATCTTTAGAGTCGCGCTAAAGTCACAGAATGTGTGTTGAAGGAAACTCTGGCTGCGTTTTCGGTTTGATGCGACGGATGCAAGTTGGTTAGGATGCATTCATGCGCCACGCGGCGCTGATGTGGGAAACTGAAGGTGTGCTATTCACGTTCAGTCAGAAGGACCAGCCTGAAACCTGGCACCGCACCGGTTACCATGACAACCCTAGGATTTTGGACAAACCGAATCAAATTCTCAGATAAAACCAGGTTCTGTGCTGTTGCGTCTGAAAAAAGATTCTTCTCTCTGGAGAATCTTGCTCAGCATCCCGTGGCTGGACGTCCTCACCTCCGGATCCTGATGCCTCCTCCCACATACCAGCGCTCCCCGTGTCCTCGCTGCAGACCGGCGTGGTGACACTCAGCCAGAGTCACGGTTCTGAACATCGTCACTTTGATCTTCCCTCCAGTTCTTATTGGGCCATTCCCATCTGTACCGGGTCGGCCCGGGCCGGGTAGCGTAGGTTGTTTACATATCTGGGTGGCCTGGTATTTTTCCGGGCCAACCAAGGCTCATTCTCAGCCCTCTTCTCGAGGGGTACTGCTTCAGGCCGACCAGGGCCAACACGCCCACTGCTGACAGCAAATTCACACCTTCCATTAGAGCAAGCCTCTGATTGGTGGGAAGAATCAGCCCCCATGGGCTTAAGGCAAGGATGTGTGGAATCAACCGGGCCAGGCTGGGGCCGACTGGGGCTACCCGGTACAGATGGGAATGGCCCATAAGAGAGCTGGACAGAACCCAGGGGCACTTGATAATACCAGGATATGATCCGGCGCTCGCTCAGATCCCAGAGCAGACATCAAACCGTTCGTCTAACTAGGGCAGCGAGAATCGAGCAGGTTGAAAAAAAAAGAGTCAAGATGAAGAAACTTTTTTCTTCAAGGAGAAGCCAGTTTGGATTCTGCGAGTTGATACTTGGGCTTCTGCAGATGTGAGCGTTTCCTTTATCTCTCGCCTGTAGCAGCCCTCTTCAAAAGGCCTCGGCGCTGCGGCTTTCCCGACTCTCACATGAAAGCGCCTCGCGTTTTTTTACAGCTGGAAATCCTTGATAACTTTGTTCAGCTTTCCTGAGCGCTCTCTGCAGACCTCGATTCAAATTCCACCCCGTCATGCAGCGTCGCATCACATAAAACCTGCATCAGTCCCCGGGTCGCCGGCCTGCTCTGACGCGCCGCAGGTTCACATGGGGTGACATCATGGGACTTCTGGCGGAGCGGCCACATGTGCATCACTGGCCTGTTTACTTCCAGCTGGTTCTCTTTCATTTCACATGATTTACATGGAGGTTAACGCGGGGTGGGAGAGCGCCCTCTAGTGGCCAAAGGGGAGCTCTTTCACCAGGAGTCGGTGTGATCGTGCACTTGGTCTAATAAATCCTGGCTTGTGTGTTTGCAGGCGAAGCGAGCGGTGCAGCGGGGAGCCACAGCCGTCATCTTTGATGTGTCTGAGAATCCGGATGCCATCGATCAGGTTGGTGCACACCTGGGAATCACCTGCATGTACACACACACACTCTGCCTGCTCGTGTGTGTGTGTGTGTGTGTGTGTTGTTCACACAGTGACTGTTCAGAATGCAGAATGTTCAAGTTCTGCACAAAAAGCACACGTGGCGGCCTCGTTCAGTGATGCATTCTGGGATTTTAGCTCCCTAACTTGTGTTTGGAGGAGTGAAAAAGGATCCCCGGGTTCAGCTTTCACTGAACCACGACCGAACTCTGTAGAGCTCATAATTGCACAGGTAGTGCACGTTGCCTCACCTGAGCTGTCTTTGAGTGCACGTTTGGGAGGCCAAGCATGAGCTACTGTAAACAAAAAAAGTCCATGTGTTGTCACACACATGCAGTCTTGGCTGTTTGAGGAGTATAATACTCCAGTAGCTCCTCTGAGCACCTTTTGTCACAGGAATTCTCTGGCGGTATTCATCCCAGCGAGGCCAGGCCCGGACTTGCAGGTTGGTTTTATAACTGCGCTACTTGCTCCTCTTCTTCTCTGCTGCTGGGTCGTGAAGTGCGTGGCTGAGAGATAAAAGGGATCGCGCACAGACCACATGAAAGGCAGCGCTGGGCGGCTGTGTTAAATTCCCCCGAGAGGCTTTTCCAGTCAGAGCAGACCGATCCGCAGAGACAGGAGCCGCGAGGCTGAGGGGCAGGGGGGCGGAGCTTAGGGAGAACTAAGGTTCCTGGGCCAAAAAGTAGATGAAGCTTTAAAAAAAGTGAAAGCTCTTGACCTTTTCTCCTCACATTTTATGTGATAAAGTGTGGATTTTCTTTTAAACGGCAACTTTAGCTCGACGCGTAGGTGGTTTGTTCTGCAGGAGATCAGGAATCGGCGCAAAAGAACAAAAGTTTGAGCAACTTTAAAACCGGAGCAAACCGCATTTGCAGCAGAAGAGACATTTATATCTTCGGTGCTTCCCCTGGGCTGTTGGAGTTACAGATCCACCCGGCAGATGAGCAGGAAGAACAGAAAGGGAGAGGAGGAGAAGTTTTCAGAAGGCTCAGAACCAAGAATATCGTCTTCATTCACCATCTCCTCCTGCTGCCTCTGGCAAACTGGCTGTGGTGCCTCCACAGGTCCTTCCCCTGCTGGGAAAAGGGGCGTCGACTCTGGCGTGCTCAGTTATGCGGGGCCCAAACACACAACCGGGGCTGCCAAGACTGCTGACGCAAATTTAATATTCAACATAATCGTCTTATCTGTTAAGGGCTGGTTTTATCTCTTAGCTGCCGCCATGCCTTCTGCTGCTTCATCTGCCTTCCTGCACATGTGCAGCAGCAGCATGGCGTCGCTGGGAAAGCCCGAACAATCCCGGCGAGCCAACAAATCAGCGAGGTAGAGCCTGCCTTCCCTGGCAGAACAATGGTGACGCCCGTTGTGGCTGATGACAAAGAGCGAGAGCGTCGCATCTTTAGGCTAATTTTTGCTAGTTAGCTGCTAACATTAACAGTTAGCTACTTGGCTGTTTTGATAGCTGCAACCTTAAAGGTCAACTTCACAGAAAAAACTATTTTTAATGATTATTTCCGATTCTAACGGGTCACTCTGAGTGTTTCATGCAGGCTGAACATGAAAATAGTCTCCTACACCTGTCTCACAGCGCCGGTGAAACTCTAGGATTAGAAAATCCTGACAGATCTACGTCACACTGTCGCTTAACGATCATGGACTCATTAAGGTTTAGCGTCCAGGAAACAGCAGAGAACGTCTTGGTTAGCAGAAGCTAACCATTAGCATTAAATGCTCCACCACACAGCAGAACTCCTCCAGGCTTGTGTTATTTGTGGAGATAAAACATCAGCGTTGCAGAGCCACCAGAGTCAGTGGTGGAGTCGTGTTGCTGTTAGCCAATCAGACGAGAGATGTCCACATATCAGGAAGTAAGAGTCTGAATTCTGCTATATTCAGCTTCTACATCATGAAACGGGCACACTGGAGCTTTTTGTCCTCATGAGTGCGATTTAAAAGGCTTTCAGTCCTATTTGAGACCGCCGCAGACGTGTTAAATTAAACGTCTGAGTAAAGTTGACCGTTAGGTTGGCACAGAGCTCCACAGCGACACCTAACGGGCCTGGCCCCACATGCAGACGCCGCAGCTCCTCATCCTGGTCTGGACTCAGAGTATGAGGTGTGTGTGTGTGTGTGTGTGTATGTGTGTGTGTGTGTGTGTGTGTGCGTGCGCGCGTGCGTGCGTGTGTGCTCCGTCTTCTCGATCCCCAGTGAGTCGTGGAGGATGGCTGCTTATATTGAGCCAGGATCCTCTGGAGGTTTCTTCCTGTTAAAAGGGAGTTTTTCCTCTCCACTGTCGCTATATGCTTGCTTAGTATGAGGATTTGCTGGGTTCCTTATATAGGAAACATTATTTCTGATTGGCTTAATGAACTGACCTGAACTGGAATGTTTATTATGTGAAGTGCCTTGAGACGACTCTTGTCGTGATTTGGCGCTTTATAAATAAAGTTTAATTGAATTGAACTGAGCATCACACCTGAGTGTTGGGATTACGCAGCGTGAGCTGCACCTGTTCAGGGTTCTCCTTTAACAGTCACAAAGAGCCACAGGGAGAACCACCTTCAAGAAAAGGAGTATTTCCTTTGGAAAATCAAGGAAGCTGCAACATTTGACCCAAAATCCTAATTTAAACAAGCCGAGATCATAAAAACCCATCAGTGTTAACGCATACACATTTTAGAAAGGATTACACATTTATTGTAGTAATCGTTACACGTGAAACCACCACGGGGTCGTCGCTTAAAATCAAATGTTATGATTTTTCAACATTGTTGGTCGTTTTTTCACCCTTCTGCTATGTGATGCAGGCAAAAGCTTCCAAAATCTGCTAATAAACGTTTTTGTGTGTGTGTGTGTGTGTACATGAAGGAAATGGACCATTCACGTGTTTTCTTCTCTTCAGCTCAACCAGGTAGCGGAGGACCCCCTGAAGCGGCCGGTGGTTTACGTGAAGGGCAACGATGCCGTCAAACTCATGAACATCGTCAACAAGCAGAAGGTGGCCCGAGCTCGGATTCAGCACCGGCAGCCGCGGGTAAGAGGCCCGGATCCGAAGCCGGCGCTAGGATCGCCGAGGAGAAGTGAGACTAGAGACCCAGAAGCTTCAGACGCGAGGACAAAAGAAAATTCCAGCTGTGAAATCAGAGCCTTTCTTCTGTGTTCCTCGCCGCCCCAAGGCTGAAGACTTTTTCACAGATTAATATCGGGCGGTCAAAGAGCTGTTTGTTTGCCCGGCTGTTTGAAAACGAGAGCAGCACACTTCGAGGTCAAATAACTTGACACAATGAAATCCTGAGAGAATAGGGGGTTTGATGGGAGGGTATTTCTGGTGGGGAATCAAACCAGCAACCCTTCCAGGGCCAACGTTTCACCCTGGATCTTAAAAAGTCAAGAGAATACATCCAAGTGCATGAAAACGGCTTTTTACTGAGCTGGTGGTGTTTTTATGACAGGACGCACGTCCTGCTATTTTCAGCGTTTCCATAATAAAACTGGGATTAAAGGAGTTTATAAAACTGCATCTTAATGTGCTAAACTGTAAATATTTCCTGGTAAATAACTCATCCTGTGGCCTTTTGTTTCGTTTCTCCACAGCAGCCCACGGAATACTTCGACATGGGAATCTTTCTGGCTTTCTTTGTCGTCGTGTCGCTCGTTTGTCTCATCCTGCTGATCAAGATCAAACTAAAGCAGAGGAGGAGCCAGGTGAGTGTGTCGGCACACGCCAAACGGCTAAAGGAATCCCGCGTCGCACACGAGCGCTTGTTACGCCGTCAAAGGGAAAAACACCCAAAAGCAGCGCGGCGTTCCTGGTTCTTCCGGCATATGAGCCCTGACTGGGAGCTGCAGGTGTTGAGTCAGGCGACAGGAGCGCCGCCGCTGATCGATTCCTCTTGCGTGACGAGTAAAAAGCTCTCAGTGGACGCTTGTGTCGAGAGCACGAATCGGGATTAGCATTTAATTAGCGCTGATGAGAGGCTGGCTGACGGAGCCAAACGCACCGAGACGTCACGACAGAGCTGAAAAGCTGCCGCGGCGTCCGTTAAGACCGGTGTAATCCTGCCACAACGCCAGTGTTGCTCAGTCCAGGGTAGCTGCAGGTTTAAGGGAGCCAAATTTAAGACTTAAGACCTTTTTTAAGGCCACTTTGACCAAATTTAAGCTATTTTTAAAATTAAATTTAAGCTATAATTTCCAGCTATTGCCTGGAACCGGTGCTAACCACGTCACCAATGTGGGATTAGCCATCCATTTACCATTAAACTTGCACTTCCCCATGGCGCAAGCTCCCGCTAGCTTAACCAGCTAATGCGCTCATCTAAAAATATCCCCCTTTCACACCCAGCTGAGTGTGTAAGGTTCCGCTTACGCCACCATCGTACACAAAAAACACCAACTAGAAATTCACGAACATTTAATAGAAATAAAAGAATTTAGTTTATTGGGTCTTTGGTAATTTAAGACCTTTGGAAACTCTATTTAAGGATTATTTGTCATTTTTAAGGCCTTAAATTTGGAAAAGCAAATGTAAGACTTTAAAGAGCAAGTCACCCCCAAATCACTTTTTTTTTTGCTGATAAACTATATGAAGGAGTGTCTAATCGTGCTGCAGACACGTGTCGTCAATAATTTGGCACTTCAGTGCATTTTAGTTAAAATTTAAATTTTCTGCCTAAAACTGTCAGTGTTGTGTCGTTGTCAGGTAAAAAGTCTGCACTGCATTTGAATTTAAATCTGCCATCGCTATTGGCTAAGAGGTATGCTATGATGTCATCTGGTACATTATGATGTCACAATGCTGTCGTGAGCCTGAGTGTGTGTGTTTTGTTAGCGGCTCCGCCCTCTCGGTCTGCCAGGCAACAGCATTTGTTGCATTTTTCAAACATGAAGTGGGAGTGAAGTGATTCTTGCAAGGGTTGACTTGCTCTTTAAACAGCAAGTCAACCTTTACCGGAGTTTAACTCCACTCTCACTTCATGTTTGAAAAATGCAACAAATGCTGTTGCCTGGCAGACCGAGAGGGCGGAGCCGCTAACAAATACACACACAGGCTCACAACGACATTGTGACATCATATGGTACTAGCTAACATTCTTGAGTACCTCTTAGCCAATAGCGATGGCAGATTTAAATTCAAATGCAGTGCAGACTTTTTACCTGACAACGACACAACACTGACAGTTTTAGGCAGAAAATTTAAATTTTAACTAAGATGCACTGAAGTGCTAAACTACTGACGACACGTGTCTGCAGCACGATTAGACACTCCTTCATATAGTTTATCAGCAAAAAAAGTGATTTGGGGGTGACTTGCTCTTTAAGGACCTGCAGTCCAGATGCATTTTATCTGATGCAAATAAAAACGCCTCTAAAATCCTCGTGTCGGTTGCTTTGCAGCATTTATGGTTTGGTCTGCACACGACTGAAGTTAAATATAAACAGAAAACTCCGGTTTGTCATCTCAAAGTTCATTGTTCTGTCGATCGGGGTTTCATCGTGATCCTGCAGTTATTAACCGGACACGATCGTGCACAGAGGAAGAAACGACCTCCGGTGTGGTGCAGCCGAGCTTCGGCATAAATAACGCCGTCATGTGAGGAGCCATCAGTTAATCGCCGGTGGCCGTAAATCGCGCCTGCAGCACACGACTCCTACAAAAGTATTCGTGGCGTTTTCGCGTCAACATGAAACAAAAAGAGGATTTATTGCAACATGACGTCAGCCTTTTACACATAGGAGGTAAACATCTGCAAACCAAACACTTTAGCTGGTGTGTAAGTTCTGCCTCCTCCCACCGCAGAGCTCCATGAACAGAATGGCCATCCAGGCGCTGGAGAAGATGGAGACCAGGAAGTTCAAGGCCAAAGGGAAGGGGCAGCGCGAGAGCAGCTGTGGCGCCTCCGATTCGCTGAGCGGCAGCTCCACCTCTGACTGTGCCATTTGTCTGGAGAAGTACATCGACGGGGAGGTGAGAGAGGGACCAGCTAAACCTGTAAACGGTGACCGCCGCAGTCACAAAGAGTCGTTTTTTCTTCTATTCATGACCAACTCCTCAGACATGAGACAAAACGCAGCTTCATGGACAATAGAGTGGAAGTCCCCCGGTGTGCTTGGGGACCGCAGTCCTGCGTTCTTTCCACGGCCTTTCTGATGTTTAGTCCAGTCTCTCAGAGCGCCTCGGGAGATAGGAGACACCCAGAGCATGCTGGGTAGTGATTACGCTTCCTGTCTCCCCCCCGCTGTGGCTTTCTTTAATCCTGGATGGAGTCACCGTCAAAATATGTGTCCCGGTCTTGGGCTTTACTGTAACTGTTGCTCGTCCTTTATTCGTGGACGCTGGAGGGACAAACACTGCTGGCCCAGGGGGGACGCAGCCTGTGTGTGTGTGTGTGTGTGTGTGTGTGTGTGTGTGTGTGTGTGTGTGTGTGTGTGTACTGTGGTTATGTGTCTTTTTGCTGAGGAGAAAAACACAACAAAGCACGGCGCCGGGACTGCACAGAAGGAAGTGGCGTTAGGAAAAGCTGAATGGCATCAAAGCGGGTTTTGAGCAGCGCACTAGGCAACAAAAGCCCTGATGGGAAAGAGCCTTAAGATGAGTCATATGTTCGGCCACAGCGGGGTTTTTATGTCGGTGAAGGGCTGCTGCTGGGAAAACATGTTAACTTCAAGTTCTCCAACTTTTGTCTCGGAGTTCCTCGTCACTGATTCTCCGTACGAAGGCGACATGTTGCGTTATTTTCATATCAATCTTGAGATTTAAGCTTTTTTGTTCAGAAAATAAAAGACAGATGCAGCAGAAGTTGAGCTTTAATTTGGTTTCAACAGATTCAGACTCCGTTAACCCTGATCCATCGGCCGGGCTTTGCTGCCCCCTTGTGGACGTTTACGCCAGCAACACATTATTTCAGCCAATAAAAGAGCAGAAGCACGACATCAGCAGGTCTTGTTTCCGTGTTTGTCCTCAGGAGCTGCGGGTTATCCCTTGTGCTCACAGATTTCATAAGAAGTGTGTCGACCCCTGGCTGCTCCAGCATCACACCTGCCCCCACTGCAGACACAACATCATAGGTGAGTCGCACTTTTGACAATAAAAACGTTTATAAATATAAACAAAATGCATAAATAGTGTTTTGTTTTTAATGCAGAGCAAAAGAAGGGAAATCCAGGACCAGCGTGCATGGACCCTGCCAGCGCGCTCCACGGCAGGCAGCGGGTGGTGCTTCCGGTCCATTATCCTGGCAGGGTGCACCGTGCTGGCCAGGTGACAGCCTATCCGACCAGAACCAGCATGGATCCCCACGGCAACCCCATCACAGTTCTCACAGTGGACCAGCACCCAGATCCACAAGGTTTATACCCGCCACAGTCGTCTGCCTTTCTCCGGAGCTACCACCCCACCCTCCACCTGGAGCATTCCCTCAACCCCCACCACTGCAGGCTAGAGCACCGCGGGCCGCCAGCCTATCCGGCACAGCCGCACCACGCTGCCTTTAAACGACCCAAGTTCCACGGACGCAGTTTCTCCAGAGCGGCCTGTTTTTCGCAGTACGAGACCATGTACCAGCACTACTACTTCCAGGGCCTGTCGTTCCCCCAGCAGCCCGATGGCGGCCCGGGACCCGCTGTGGCGGGGCAGTTCAGCGGCGGAGGAGGAGTCCATAAGGGCCACCACAGCAGAGCCTTCCAGCAAGGACTTTTATATCCCACAGTGGTGCACATGGCGCCGCCCGCCTCAAGGATAGGGGACGGCGGCAGCACCTCGGGGCTGAGCTGTTACCACGGCCATCGCTCGGTGTGCAGCGGCTACCTGGCCGACTGTCCCGGCAGCGACAGCAGCAGCAGCAGCAGCTCTGGACAGTGTCACTGTTCCTCCAGTGACTCCATGTTGGACTGCACCGAGGTCAGCAACCAGGGCGTGTACGGGAGCTGCTCCACTTTCCGCAGCTCGCTGAGCAGCGACTACGACCCCTACGTGTACCGGAGTAAGAGTCCCTGCAGGGGCTCCACGGGGGAGGCAGCTTGCACCACAGTTCCTGCTGAGGACTCATCCATCTCTGCCCCCGTGGGACACGAGCGCCTCCAGCTTCCGTCAGCAGCTTCGGGATTCAACTCGAGGGACCACCACTCCAACTGCAGTTTGGAGCCCAACCATAGCAGTCGTTCATCACTGGAACCCAGGGAGAACAGCAGCACTACCTCAGCGGGGGCTCCGGAGGCCACTGCAGCGGACAGGGTCAACGGGGCGCTGGAGGAGTCGGGGGAACTTGGGGCTGCGGCCTGTAGCTGCTGTTTTGAGGTCATTCCTCCTACTGCAGAGTGTAAAGGGCAGGACTTGGACAATGCTGGGCCTGTGGCCTCAGGACACTGTCAAAGGGGGGTAGACTTTCAGAGCTCCGCCTCTAAGAACTACTTTTCTCCAGAGCACCTGTGTCCCCCTGAGCAGGTGAGCTATGAAGGGCTGCCTTGCTGCTTCTACAAAGAAATGAAGGTCCACAGGGCCACAGCGGGGCACTTTACCGAGGACTATGCTGTTAATGTGCAGTATGCACATGCAGAGTCAGAGGCCTGCTCGGGACAGGGCTGCTGCGAACTCAACCACAGGATACCCATAATTCCTGAAGACACAGATTGTGAACTGGGCTCAGGGGCAGACACCCGGAGCGGTTTGTTACCGGTCAGCATCACGGTGGAGACAGAGTTGCGGACAGGGGAGCAGCGCGAGCCTAAGGAGAGGTACTTCCCCTCGGGACAGCTGAGAGGTCATACGGAGGGGACCAGGGCTTTGTTTCACCCTCCGCTCTCTACAAGCCCGCCTACACCGGGAGCCAGTACTTCTACACACGAGAGAGATCCGGGCTCATGAGCCAGAACAGAGATCAGATATGTGGTACTGAATCCCAGAGGTTGCCTTGTTCTAACCGTGCTCTCGGAGCGCTGAATGTTATCATCTTAGATTGTGTGGTTTTCTACTGAAACGGCCTAAAACTTCTAGACTCGCGACGCATCTGGTTCATTCCTGCGGCCGCCACAGTCCCAATACTCCGAAACAAGCTAGGAAAGATTGTTGGAAGTCAGCTGCAGCCAGGAAGGGTCAGTAATCTGGACCCTGCGTTGTAAACGAGCTCTAGGAATCTGAGATTCGTGCGTCTACGAGCGCAAACACCCACTCAAACGATTCTACAGACGTAGCTATACCAAAACAGGAAACGCCGATCGTTAGCTGGGACTCACGTTAAACTAAGGAGAGGAGAGCATAGAATAGTGAACGCAAGACTGACACTGGTCACCAATCAAAACACAGAATTCATTCATGCATTCATTGCCGTTCACAGTGGCCTATGCGAGGGTGAGATGAGCAACTTGAGAGCCTTATCCAGGTGAGACGTTGGCAGCAAAATTAAAAGACGTGATTGCTGGAAGCCATTAAAAATGTATTTTTGATATCAGATGACTACGGATGCAGCCGTATGCACATGTAGGCTGACGTGTGACGCTAATACATCGATACCCGGTGGGATGTTTTTATTTCCCGACACCATGTCTCCCCGGCTCTCCACTGGACGGTCAAGCGTCGCGTAATAAAACGCAACCGATCACGAGAGAATAGCAAGGGCGTGTCTAACTACAGCAGGGCGTGTCCATAAAGGTCTGATTCGTTTTGGTCATCTCGGCTACGCAGCTTTCACGGGTACTTTTTTTGTTTGAAAGTTCACCGACTCACGACTGTTCCATGCTGTACTTTTTAAAAACGCAGAGCAGTTTTGTTTACCTGTTTTCCCGCTACGTTTCGATTGTGGCTGCAAACATCCTCAGGCCGACGCTGCAGCGTCGGCCTGAGGATGTTTGCAGCCACAATCGAAACGTAGCGGGTAAACAAAACTGCTCTGTTTAAAAAAAGAACTACAGCATGGAATTAGGAAACAGCAGAGAATGGCTCGGCTAACCGTTAGCATTAGCACCTCCACCACACAGCAGAACTCCTCCGGGTTTGTGGAGATTAAACATCGCTGCGGAGTCGTGTTGCTGTTAGCCAATCAGGGGTGAGATGTAGCTGAATCCTGCCCTCTCTGGCTGTGGCTCATTTTGGATCCTGGAACAAAAGCACCAGAGGGTTTTTTTTCCTCCGCACACGAATCGATTCGTTGAAAAACAAGTGAACTGAGGCCTAGTCCACACGTAGCCGGGTTTTTTTAAAAGACGAATATCCGCCCCTCCACAAACTTACATCCACACCACCTTGTTTAAAAAAAACTCTGTCCATACATACCCGGATAAATACGTTGTTAAGGACATGCCAGACCTGTAGGGGGCAGTACTTCCCCCGTTCTTAACCTCGTCCTTCGTCTGTGGTCTTCCGCAAGGAGCAGTAATTCCTCTTGCAAAAACAAACAAGCAAACAGCGCTTGGACAATTGATAAAGCGAGCGCAGCTCTGAGGGCATCCATGCTGTCGGCTAGTGTAAACACAGGTCGCACACGTGATGTCAGCATTTTTTTGTCGCGGAAAGTGACGTTGCGGACCTTAAAACTCCGGTTTTGTCCGTCCACACGCAGACACCCAAAACGGAGAAAACGCAGATCTTCACTTTGGCCGGAGTTTTTAAAAAGATCCGTTTTCGTGTGGATGACAGGCCAAAACGTAGAAAAATATCTACGTTTTGGCAGATCCCCGGCTACGTGTGAACAGGGCCTGAGTCTTTAAACATTTGGGGAGGTTTAATTTCCTGTCTGGCCCGACCTCAGGTTATCTACAGGTGTATGGGAGCCAAATTTAAGACTTTTTAAGACCTTTTTTAAGGCCAATTTGACCAAATTTAAGCTATTTTTTAAAATTAAATTTAAACTATAATTTCCAGCTATTGCGAATGTGTGATTAGCCATCCAGTTACCATAAAAGTTGCACGTCTCCCACTAGCTTAACCAGCTAATGTGCTCATCTAAAAAAGCCCCCTTTCACAACTAACTGAATGTGTACGGTTCCGCTTACGCCAGCGTCATACACAAAAAATGCTGAACACAAACTAGAAATTCATGAAAATTGAAATAAAATAATCTTATTTATTGGGTCTTTGGTAATTTAAGACCTTTGGAAACTGTATTTAAGGATTATTTTTCATTTTTAAGGATTTTTAAGGCCTTAAATTTGGAAAAGCAAATTTAAGACTTTTTAAAGACCCGTGGATACCCTGGACCTGAACGGCTGAGCTTACGCATCACTACGCTTTGAGACAAAACTTCACACAGCGGGTAATGCCACCCAACGCCGCCCCCCCCCCCCCCCCCCCCTATATATGCAACAGCAATAAGATGGAAGTATCCATCAGCCCAGTTTTACTCGTCGCACCGATACCGACGTTAGAAAACGACGACGTGGACTTGTCGTACATCCTTACAGATGACCGTTTCCTCTATGAGGCGTGCTCTTATATCAATAAAAGGTTCTAGTTTGTATCTAAAGGCCAAAGGAAAGTAGCTAAACAGACTTCATAAGGGTTCCTCATTGTACTGTGACTTTTTTCTTTGAATAATGCAGTTATTCCTACCACAGCGTCTGAATCATAGTGTGCATAATACATTCACGCCTTCCTGTTTGTACTGCAGACTGTTTTTATACTGTTTCTATGAAATGTCCACGTTCTCTACGCAGAGCAAACCCAGAAATAACCCTATTTATAAGTTAACCCAGAGCTGTAATCGTCACAATCTAATCTTGCCTTTGCATAAAGAAATGTACCTACTGCAAATATAACATTTTGGGGGTACTCGAGTCACTATTTAATTGTTCCGTTTTTGTTTTCTAGCACTTACGATAAAAAAATGTGTACAAAATAATATTTTTAATTTTCTAAGATAATTATTTCCTGTCGTACCGTTACAGATGTTTAAAAGGCTAGACATGGATCTGTTGTATATTCTGTACCTGTATAGCAAACATTTCATAAATGGAACTATGTTCTCTGAATATTTATTTGCTAATATATTTATCTTTAAGCCATGTCTTATGTTTAGAGTGTTTGGTTGCTTTTTTCTTTGAGAGAAATCACTAACATGAGACGCTGTACATACATGGTAATTGCACACGAGACGATTAAATCTTCTGACCAAAAAAAGAAAAACAACCTGATTTTAAAGAACTTTAGTACTATACAGTTTTGTAATGAAAGTGTACAAAGATCTGTAAAAATATACAGTTCCATTCAAGTACCTCCATGTACTATCCTGTGTTTCATTACAAGTACTATGATGTTTCATGGCTGCGTAGTACTGGTTTCATTAGCTTTGACAGTGGAACCGGGTCCCTGATAATTGGATAAATAACAGCCACTGACCTTTGACCTGCTGCACAGAGAGAAGCTTTCGGTTGGAATAAAAAGTCTTTCAGAAGGCGCGTGAGGCTGAACCACGACGCAGGTCTTTCCCCTTTTTGGCGCCTCACAGTTTGAAGCCGGAGTGGAGCGCCACCACTCCTCCGGTCAGGTCGTGGTGCTGCACGCAGTAGAAACCCGCGTCCTCCATCATGCCTTTAAACTCCTCCTGCAGGAGAAAAGCAAGAAAATGATTAAAGAGCAAAGAGGTTCAGCTGAACTTTCAGCTCTGCTGCTTAAAATATCCAAACAATAAAGTTAAATTAATTCATTAACCAGCTGCACAGCTGTACAACATATGAGAGATCAGACCATACCTAACACAACATGCCACCCAGCTCCTGGAGCAATCTACTGTCATCTCCCGCCTCCATTACTGCAACGCCCTTCTAACTGGTCTTCCAGGCTGTACTGTGAGACCTCTTCAAATGGTCCAGAACGCAGCGGTGCGTCTGGTCTTCAATCAGCCAAAAAGAGCACACGGCACCCCTCTGTTCACTGAGCTCCACTGGCTACCGCTAGCAGCACACATCAAATTCAAATTGCTAACACTAGCATACAAAGTCCGAGATGCTACGGCTCCCATCTACCTGAATCCTCTTGCAAAGGCTTACGTCTCGGCCCGGCCGCTCCGGTCATCACAGGATGGTCGGCTAGCAGTGCCTACACCACGCTCAGGACAATCCAGACTCTTCTCATGCATCGTTTCACAAATGTGGAATGACCTTGCAAGCACTACCAGAACAGCGGCTTCCTTTTCAATTTTCAAGAAACTCCTGAAGACCCTGCTCTTCAGAGAGCATCTTCTAAACTAGCACCCTCCCTGCACCCGTCCCCCTCTCTACCGTCCACTCCTTGTTCCCTCCTCTCCATGATTGATGTCGTTGTTGTTGTTGTTGTTATTGTTGTTAGCCTCAAGGGCAACATGCCAATTATCACTTGTAAGTCGCTTTGGACAAAAGCGTCTGCTAAACACATAAAACATAAACAAGAACTGGTAAAAAAAAAAAAAACGTATTTTCTGGACTATAAGCTGCTACTTTTCCCCCAAGCTTTGAACCATGCGGCTTATATTGAGGTGCGCTTTAGTCCGGAAATTACAGTATGTAATCAGAATTAGAGGCCAACAGATTTCTAAAGCCTGCCTAAATATATAAAAACAAACTCAAAACACAAATTAAATGGTGTGTTGGGGTCCTTTCTTAAGTCTAGTAGTGGCAGCAGTTGGCCACACAGATGCCCGTTTTATTTTTATATTTGCTTTTAATACAGAGAATATTTAATATATCGGTCGGCCTCAAATCAGAATTAAGGTTGGTTTATGCGTGACGCGTCCGCGAGGTCCGCACGGCTCCGCGCGGAAAAGTTGCGTCATTTTGCATCATTTTAACAACCACGCCCCTCCACCGCACGGCCCAAACTTTCCGCACCGCACACCTAGGAAATTTTCTAACCACGCGGATGGTCAGACACGGAAAAACATGGCGGACTGGCAAGAACTAGTATGGCAGAGGTTGGTAAATACAGACATTTGTATGATTCAGCTCTCAGAGATCACCGTGATCAACATGTTGTTAATAATTCTTGGAGAGAAATAGCTCGCACTGTCGGAAAAGACGAGGACGCTGTTAAAAATGCTGAAATGCCGTGTTGTAAACAGTCATTTTTACTTCTACTATGGTGTAGTGTTGGATGCATGCCGTAGAGCTCCATGCTGCCCCCTACAGTTTGGGAGAATATTGGCTCACCGCAGAGACGAGCCGCATGAACCATAAACGCTGCGAGTTGTGAAGCGCGTTCCATCCGCGAGCCGCATCACCGCGCGGAAAGTAAACACGTCAAGCATAAACCAAGCTTTAGGGGTAGACCGGTATTTCAGGCCGATATCTGTCCTTAGTAAAGCCGATTTAAAGTCAGGCGCATCTTCGGGCAGCCCGGTGCTGTTGCACAGTTCAATTTAAATGCATTTTTATGTTCACTACTAACACCTGCATAATAAATCCTCTTAACTTTATTTAGGTGTCTGACTTTAACACTGAGCAGTGCACAAAGTCAAGAGCTCGAAAACAGATTCAGCTTCAGACACGTGCATCAACTGATGTTATTAGTGACATCTTAGCATGAAAATAAGATGGAAAAAGTCTGGATATCGGCTGGCCGTGGCTCCTATATCAGCATCGGTATCGGCAATAGAAAAGCCAATATCGGTCGGCCTCCAATCAGAATCATTTAGGTAATTATTGATTATAGGGTGATCGTAATAGAAACGATTTCCATAATTGCACAAACAAACAACAGATAGTTAAAATCAGTATGGACGGAGCGAGTTTGCAGTCATACGTGAGCTGTAACTCAGAAACTAAAGATTTAGCTTCTACCATCAAGTCTTGGTCAACTGCAACACAAACGGGTAAAATATTACGTTTATAATATTAAACTAATATCAGTTTCTTGATGTCAGGATGAAGGTCTGCTGCAACACTCCCTAGTGTCGTCGTTGCAGAGGTTTGGATGAAAACAGAAAATTTCCGTATTTTCCCTCGGCGAACTTGTGATCGGTTAAAGCAGCTCTCGGCTGTCTGAGGGTAGGCCCCGCCCACAACGCCGCGGCTGCTGTGGCTCCCAGTGTTTTCTTTTCTTTACTGTGGGAAACGGGTAACGATGGCTCTTTGATGGGAAAAGGCTGCCGACCCCTGAGCCAGGCAAAGGCAGACGGACGGCTGCCAGACCAGGAGGATGACTGCGCTGGTTACTAAAGGCTGTTTTCTCACTAATCTGCTATCTGCGCCACCATGCAGCACTAATCGGGCTGCATGGTGCCTCGCAGCACGAAGGTTGCAGGTTCGAAACTCGGCTCGGCTGCAGCCTTTCTGCGTGGAGTTGTGTGTTCTCCCCGTGCATGTGTGGGTTTCCTCCGGGTACTCCGGTTTCCCCCACAGATCACAGCATGCCCTACAGGTTATAAACTGTAAGTCGCTTTGGATAAAAGCGTCTGCTAAACAAATAAACATAAACATAATAAACATAATCTAACTCTGGGGAATGTGGTCATTGACAAAATTTCACTTTGAGGTGGAATATCCTTTTAAATAAAAAAATATAAAAAGGAAAAAAGATTTGAATTTGCTTTACCTGGTTAGGAAACTTCCGAATGCTCTCCACTAAATACTGGTAGGACTTCCAGTCTCCGGCAATCACTTCTCCCAAAACTGGGATCACCTGGAAACTGTAGGCGTCATACAGACTGCAAAACGGAAACATGGATAGCTTAGAAACCCTCTAAAACATAAAATGTCGTCTTTCACAGACTTTTCACTATTTAACATATTACAGGGTATCTGCAGGTTTAAGGGAGCCAAATTTAAGACTTTTTAAGACCTTTTTTTAAGGCCACTTGGACCAAATTTAAGCAATTTTTTAAATTAAATTTAAGCTATAATTTCCAGCTATTGCCTGGAACCGGTGCTAACCACGTCATGAACGTGGGATTAGCCATCCAGTTATCATTTATGTTGCACTTCCCCATGGTGCAAACTCCCACTAGCTTAACCAGCTCATCTAAAAATAGCCCCCTTTCACAACCAACCGAACGTGTACGCTTACGCCAACATCATACACAAAAAATGCTGAACACTAACTAGAAATTCACGAAAATTTTATAGAAATAAAATAATCTTGATTATTGGGTCTTTGGTAATTTAAGACTTTTGGAAACTATTTAAGGATTATTTGTAATTTTTAAGGATTTTTAAGGCCTTAAATTTGGAAAAGCAAATTTAAGGCTTTTTAAGACTTTTTAAGGACCTGCAGATACCCTGTATTAAGTTATAAATTAAATAGGAGAGACAAAACACTCAGATTAGTTCATCTGCTCCACCTGGGCTCTGAGTGTTGATCACCGTTTACACTAGCACACCAAAAGGGGGCGGTGTTTCACCAAAACAGAAAAGGTTTAAGCACAAAAAGACAAACGCAGCACAGAAAATAACATTTACTCAACCACAAAGTTGTACAATCTTCTCCACAGCTACTGATTCTCACCCGTGTTCAGCAGAAGCTTCACTCACCGTGCCAGGACAGGATTAGTCACTTTGCTGAACTCCAAGCACATGAACCTGCCACCAGGCTTCAGAACCCTCAGAGCTTCCTGAAGAGCCTAAGAAGAATCAGCGATTAAGGCTTTTATGATCATATTTCTGACCATCAGACACGAGCGACTACTACCGTGGGTTACCTGATCCATACGAGTGACGTTTCGAATGCCAAAGGCGATGGTGTAAATATCAAACTGGTCATCATCAAAAGGCAGCTCCTCCGCATCTCCCACCACCCACGACAGCCCTGACGCACATAAAGATCCATCAGCTGTGCAGCGTTTGGGACGTTTGAACGTTTGTGGATTCAGTTTGGTTTCTTCTTAAAAACTGAGTTTCAGTTCCTGATTTACCAAAATCTAAGAAATTACAAAGATGCTCGTAAGATGCATAAAACAGTTACTGAGCAGATATCTTAAGCTCACCAGAGACGACGCCCATGCGGTCAGCTTTCTGTTTCCCCATTTTCAGCATCTCCTTGTTGATGTCACAAACCACAGCACTAGACTCACGGCGCCTGTCGTCTGAGATGTCCTGCCATGATGAACCCTGACCAGACGGCGTATCTCGCCGCTTCTGCCTCTCCAGCTGATAACGGACGTAGTCCAGGAAACGGACAGCGATGTCACCTGCAGAAGATGTTTGGATGATGCCCAAAATGTGAACGCGATGCTCGCTAACGCTAAATGACCTTAGAGGTGCTCGAAAACCGCTTTACCTGTTCCACCTGCAACATCAAGGAGCCGAGCACCAGGCTGGGGGTGCATGACGTGCAGCAGCACGTCCTTCCACAGTCGATGAATCCCCAGACTCATGGCGTCGTTCATGACGTCATACTTCTGAGCCACGTTCTCAAACACCTTATACACTGAAAGGACAGACATGAGCAACACTCTCAGATCTCAAACTAAATTAAATAAGTCATCCGACAAGGAACTCAAGAAAAACGGTATTTTTTTGGACACTTTACTTTTCTGTTTCTGTGAAGCTTGGAGTATTTTTACTGCTACTTTTTCACTTTTTGAGCATTTGTTATGATGTGTAACCATGGCAACAAGCTGGTTTACAATCGGGAGCAGCTGATTAACATTGGAAAGGCTGAAATAATACCTCAACTGAAGCCACAAATCCCAAATGAACTAAAACGCGAGAAGCGTGGGTGCAGAGCGGGAGCAAAACGGAGACAGAGAAAGAGGAAATTGAAACCATCTCTTCCATCGATCATAATGGGCGATGTGAGATCACTGGCCAACAAGATGGAGGAACTCCAAGCCCTTTCAAGGACTCAGCCAGAGTTTCGGCAGTGTAGTGTTATGTGTTTAACGGAGACGTGGCTGCAGGACCATATCCCCGATTCCAGCGTCTCTCTGCCAGGATTCCTGACTGTACGAGCAGACAGAGATCTGAAGAGGAGCGGGAAAAGAAAAGGAGGTGGAGTGGCAGTGCTTGTCAACAACAGATGGTGCCATCCAGGTCATGTTTCAGTGAAATGTCGTCTCTGCAGCCCAGATAATGAACTCTTGGCAGTAAGTTGTCGCCTATAGAGCTCCGGACCCCACATGACTCTCAGTTAGTAGACGCCATATTGGCAGTCAAAAAAGGAAAACAAACACGGATCGTAAACATGAACATGAACGGGATCAGCCTGGATTTTACTTCGTCAGAGTTTACTTCACACTTTAAAACCGAATAAATTGTTTTATATAGTCAGAAATTAAATAGACTAAACATCTCCGACTCTTACCGTGCCCCTGGGATACTTTTAAAAAAAACGCCAGAAGCTGTCGGAGCGGACTTCTTACCGGACCTGGCCGGGGAACCCCTTGGGATTCCCCCGGAGGAGCTGGCCCAAGTGGCTGGAGAGAGGGAAGTCTGGGCCTCTCGACGCTACTGCCCCCGCAACCCGACTGCAGATAAGCGGATGAAAATGGATGGATGGATGGACAAATAACATAGATTTACATGTAAGAAGTTTAAATAGAGTGCTGTGCTGTTTGAATGTATAAACTGAACACCAAGAGAAATCACTAGTCTGATTTTTTTCCGTGAATAAAATAAATATGTCAGGCAGGAGCGTCTCAGGATCTGTCTGAGATCTGACTCGGTGAGACAGATAATAGCAATCCAAAGTGCTTTTTATGTGTGATCTGACAATTGATCAACCATTGCTTAAAAGTTAAATACAGCTTAGCCGGTTAATTGTTGTGATCATAAAACACGTAAACGGCAGCACGCAGAACTCACGAGGCAACGTTTTACGTGATGTTTACTTGTTGCTATGAGTAATAAGACAGAAAAAGCCACGCCAAAATAAGTTTAGGAAGCCCACTAAGAATCGTAATAAAAGCATTTAAAATAAATACCATACACAGTTGAGGAAACGTTGGTTTAAGTACCTGATGTGAAGCGGTCGCTGCATAAGTGAAAACCTTTACTCTCGGGATCCCACAGTTTCATTTTAGCCCGGTCACTAGCACGTTTTATTACAAAGATCCAACGTTTGCCACGTTCCGGATCTTGGGGAATCCTGTAGACGGCTCATTCAAATCAATTTCCCTCTGGGATTAATAAAGTATTTTTGAATTGAATTGAATTGAATTCCTTATGTCGTCCGCGTCTGTTCTGCATCCTGGGGCACAACAGGAATCTACCATATTTCCCGTTTGTTTGAGTTTTCTGACAATAACAAATAGTCCAGCTGCAGGCTTCAGCATGCCAATATGGCGCCGTTTCGATTTGAACTGTTGCATGCCGGGAGACGTGACGTCAACTCCCGAAGCTCTACATTATTTGCCAAGAGAGTTCACCAGTGTTGTCTAGGCAACCGTTTATATTCCACCTTCAGCCATTGCTGAAAATGCATATGATGCCATCAGTTCCGTTGTCGCTAAGCTACAAACCCAGCACCCCAATGCATGTGTGGCTATATCTGGTGATTTTAATCATGCCTCGCTCTCTGCTACACTTCCAACATTTCAACAGTTTGTCAGCTGCTCCACCAGAGAAAACAAGACATTGGATTTGTGTTATGCAAATGTTAAGAATGCATACATGTCCAAAACAAGACCTCCTCTGGGACAATCAGATCACAATCTTGTTTTTCTCTGCTCAGAATACAAACCACTTGTTCAGAGGCAATCTGTGGCAAGAAGTACTGTGAGAAAATGGTCACAGGATGCTGAAGAAGCCCTGCAGAGTTGTTTTGAGACCACAGATTGGATGACTCTCTGCCAAGGATATGAAGAGGACATCAATGCCATGACTGGATGTGTCACTGACTATATAAACTTCTGTGTGGACAACATCATACCCACCAGAACAGTGAGATGCTTCGCTAATAACAAACCCTGGATCACCAGTGAACTGAAGAATCTGCTAAATGAGAAAAAAAGAGCCTTCAAGGAGGGAGACAGGGAATTATTGAGGAGTATATCTGAAGATCAAGATCAGAGACAGCAAGGAGGCATACAGGAAGAAGCATGAGAACAAACTACAGAGGAACAATATCAGAGATGTCTGGTCAGGGATGAAGAAGATCACAGGCTTCAAGCAGAGGAAGGATTGTACAGATGGCAGCCTGGACACAGCCAATGAACTGAACAAGTTCTTCAATAGGTTCAGTTCAGGAACAACCCCAGCATCCTCTTCACCTGTCCCCAGCCAATCAGACACCCCATCCTCCTCTGATCCAACATTTTCCTGTCACACGCCAGCTCTTTTGTCCTCTAACGCAGTCATGGACTCTTCTGGTTCTATAAATCTGTCTTCAACCAAGTCAGGAGATGCTGCTGCCCCATTTACCTCGCCCTGCCACCTATCTGTCTCTAGAAGTCAGGTGAAGAGGCAGCTGGAGAGACTGAACAGGAACAAGGCTGCAGGTCCCGATGGTGTCAGCCCCAGAGTACTGAAGGCCTGTGAAGAGTAGCTCTGTGGAATTCTGCAGCACCTCTTCAACCTCAGCCTGGCCCAGGAGAAGGTTCCAGTCCTGTGGAAGACATCCTGCCTTGTTCCAGTTCCAAAGAAGACTCGCCCATCAGTCAATGACGACTACAGATCGGTTGCCATGACATCCCACATCATGAAGGTCCTGGAGAGACTCCTGTTGGTCCACCTGAATAAGCAAACTAGAACATATCAGGACCCGCTGCAGTTTGCTTATCACCATGGAGATGGAGTTGAAGATGCCATCATCCAGCTGCTTCAACCAATCCACTGTCATCTGGACAAAGCAGGCAGCACTGTCAGGGTCATGTTCTTTGATTTCTCCAGTGCATTTAACACAATCCAGCCTGATGTACTTTGCCAGAAACTCCAGAAGACACAGGTGGGGGCCTCAACTATCGCCTGGATTAAAGACTACCTGACAAACAGACCACAGTTTGTGAGGCTGAAGAACTGCACATCAAACCAGGCGATCAGTAACAATGGAGCACCACAGGGGACTGTACTCTCACCATTCCTTTTCACCCTGTACACCTCAGACTTCCAGTACAAATCAGAGACCTGTCATCTACAGAAATACTCAGATGACTCTGCAGTTGTCGGGTGTATCAGAGATGGACAGGAAGCTGAGTACAGAGAGCTGGTGGAGCACTTTGTGGCATGGTGTGGAAACAATCATCTGACCTTGAACGTGAACAAAACAAAGGAGATGATTTTAGACTTCAGAAGAAACAGGGTGGAGTCAAACACTGTTTCCATCATGGGAGAAGAAGTGGAGGTGGTTGAGGAATACAAACACCTTGGAGTTCACCTGGACAACAGACTGGACTGGAGAAAGAACAGCGAAGCCGTTTACAAGAAGGGACACAGCAGACTGCACTTCTTGAGGACGCTTAGGTCCTTCAATGTCTGTAGCAAGATGCTGCAGATCTTCTACAAGTCTGTTGTTGAGAGTTTAATCTCTTCAGCCATCGTCTGTTGGGGTAGCAGCATCAGAAGCAGGGACCTGAAAAGGCTCAACAGCCTAATAAAAAAGGCTGGTTCTGTTCTGGGGACGACTGTGGAACCACTGGAGGAGATCATGCAAAGAAGGATTCTCCAGAGAATCAAGAACATGATGGACAACCCTGAGCATTCTCTTCACAAGACTGTCCGACAACGGGAGAGTGTCTTCAGTCAGAGGCTTCTTCAGTTTGGCTGCAACACTGACCGCTACTGGAGATCCTTCCTGCCAACAGCCATTGTAATATACAACAACCCTTTGATGACTTGATTACTATTATTATTATTCAGCTACTACAGCAATCAGTTTCCCTCTGGGATTAATAAAGTATTTTTGAATTGAATAATAAATTAATACTTCTGCTATGATATTGGTGGTACCGTGATTTAAAATGTTGATCCAAGTTTTTCCTCCTTCTAACTGCTTGGGTTTCATGAAATTATCTATATTATTTTATGTTAAGTTTACATAAAATACACAAGATGGCACAGTACAGGTGCTGGCCAGTAAATTAGAATATCATCAAAAGGTTGAAAATATTTCAGTAATTCCATTCAAAACGTGAAACTTGTACATTATATTCATGCAATGCACACAGACCAATGTATTTCCAATGTTCATTACATTTAAATTAGATATTCATAAGTGACAACTAATGAAAACTCCAAATTTGGTATCTCAAAAAATTAGAATATTCTGAAAAGGCTGAATATAGAAGACACCTGCTGCCACTCTAATCAGCTGATTTACTCAAAACACCTGCAAAGGCCTTTAAAAGGTCCCTCAGTCTTGTTTTGAAGGCACCACAATCATGGGGAAGACTTCTGACTTAACAGCTGTCCAAAAGACAATCATTGACACCTTGCACAAGGAGGGCAAGACACAAAAGGTGATTGCTAAAGAAGCTGGCTGTTCGCAGAGCTCTGTGTCCAAGCACATTAACAGACAGGCGAAGGGACGGAAAAAATGTGGTAGAAAAAAGTGTACAAGCTCTAGGGATAACCGCACCCTGCAGAGAATTGTGACGACAAACCCATTCAAAAATGTGGGGGAGATCCACAAAGAGTGGACTGCAGCTGGAGTCAGCGCTTCAAGAACCACCACGAGGAGACTCATGAAAGACATGGGATTCAGGTGTCGCATTCCGTGTGTCAAGCCACTCTTGAACAAGAAACAGCGCAAGAAGCGTCTCGCCTGGGCCAAGGACAAAAAGGACTGGACTGATGCTGAGTGGTCCAAAGTTATGTTTTCTGATGAAAGCAAGTTCTGCATTTCCTTTGGAAATCAAGGACCCAGAGTCTGGAGGAAGAGCGGAGAAGCACAGAATCCACGTTGCATGAGGTCCAGTGTAAAGTTTCCACCGTCAGTGATGGTGTGAGGTGCCATGTCATCTGCCGGTGTTGGCCCACTCTGTTTCCTGAGGTCCAGGGTCAATGCAGCCGTCTACCAGGAAGTTTTAGAGCACTTCATGCTTCCTGCTGCTGACCAACTTTATGGGGATGCAGACTTCACCTTTCAACAGGACTTGGCACCTGCACACAGTGCCAAAACCACCAGCACCTGGTTCAAGGACCATGGTATCCCTGTCCTTGATTGGCCCGCAAACTCGCCTGACCTTAACCCCATAGAAAATCTATGGGGTATTGTGAAGCGGAGGATGCAATACGCTAGACCCAACAATGCAGAGGAGCTGAAGACGACTATCAGAGCAACCTGGGCTCTCATAACACCTGAGCAGTGCCACAGACTGATCGAGTCCATGCCACGCCGCATTACTGCAGTTATTGAGGCAAAAGGAGCCCCGACTAAGTATTGAGTGCTATACATGCACATTCTTTTCATGTTCATTCTTTTCAGTTGGCCAACATTAGAGAAACAAACATTTTTTCATTGGCCTTTAGAATATTCTAATTTTCTGAGATACCAGATTTGATGTTTTCATTGGTTGTCACCTATAAATATCAAAATTAAACGTAATAAACATCGGAAATACATTGGTCTGTGTGCATTGCATGAATATAATGTACAAGTTTCACGTTTTGAATGGAATTACTGAAATATTTTCAACCTTTTGATGATATTCTAATTTACTGGCCAGCACCTGTATTTTAGCCACCTCTCAATTCAGAACAGAATATCGTCTTTAAAGGGTTTTAGAAGTTTAATAAACATAACTAGAAAGGTCATATATACGCCGAATTGCTTAGAAACTCGTTGCTAATCGAAAATGATCAAACAACCCTTCTTTAAAAATAAACAAGAGGGGAAAAACGACTAGAAAATTAAATAACATGATTTTTACACGCAGCTCTTCAGGCGCACCGTGGGCTGTCCCTCACCTCTCTTCGCCTTCTCCGCCTCGGACACCGTCTCGAAACCGAAATGTGTGCTTCTGTCTTCCGCTGCGTCGCTAAAACAACGACCGGACGACGTCCTCCAACAGCAGGCTGAGCGACACGACACACCGGAGACGGTGGAGGTGACTTTTCTGTGAGAAAGACGAGCCAACTGCCGCACCAAGAGTCTCATTGAAGCAGCCATGTTTGGCGTAACTTCTTCTACTACTGCGGCTGCGTCTTCTTCTTCTTCTAGTTCTAACCAAAGGATCTGACGCGCAGACACGGATGTGGGCAGCTTCTGCCCCCAGCAGGTAGTTTCTAGAACTGCATGAGTTGAGTTAAGCTCTTAAAGGTCAAAATGTGATTTACATCCTGTAAATTTAAGTTAACATACATGAAATCAATACAGATGGTTAAGAAAATAACTGTTTACATGATTGTAGCTTGTAAAAATGTGTCTTTAAGGACAAAAACATAAACTGAACTAATCTCGACTCGACTCGAACTTCATGTATATAGCACCTTACAGACACATACATGCCACCAAAGTGCTTCACAGACACGGGTAAAAACATAACACATGAAATTCACTAAAAATGAATAAAACACAAACAAATAAAAAGATTAAAAATGAGATTTGAAAGCCAGTTCGTAAAAATGGGTCTTCAGCTTTGATTTAAAAGCTGCTACAGAAGAGGACTGCCGAATGTGTGATGGAAGCTCATTTCATAGTTTTGGAGCTGCAACTGAAAAGGCTCGCAACTCCCCACACCTAGTGACACAAAAATACTCTTTCTACATGTAAAGGTTGATCTTTTTTTCTGTTATTTTCTATTGCTTGGAAAAAAGAAAGCATTCATGATATTTTCAGCTGAAGTTCTCATTTTCAAACAGTCAATGTTTTTCTAAAAAGAGCAAAAGTGTAACTAATGGCAACCCCATCCATCCATCCATCCATCCATCCATCCATCCATCCATCCATCCATTTTCATCCGCTTATCCGGAGTCGGGTCGCGGGGGCAGTAGCCTAACTCGAGAGGCCCAGACTTCCCTCTCCCCAGCCACTTGAGCCAGCTCCTCCGGGGGAATCCCAAGGTGTTCCCTGGCCAGGTGAGAGACATAGTCCCTCCACCGTGTCCTGGGTCTACCTTTAGGTCTCCTCCTGGTTGGACGTGCCCGGAAAACCTCACCAGGGAGGCGTCCAGGAGGCATCCTGACCAGATGCCTGAGCCACCTCAACTGGCTCCTCTCGATGTGGAGGAGCAGCGGGTCTACTCCAAGCCCCTCCCGGATGACCGAGCTTCTCGCCCTGTCTCTAAGGGAGAGCCCAGCCACTCTTCGTTCTTTCAGTCACTACCCAAAGCTCATGACTATAGGTGAGGGTAGGAACGTAGATCGACCGGTAAATGGAGAGCTTCGCCTTCTGACTCAGCTCTCTCTTCACCACGACAGACCGGTACAACGCCCGCATCACTGCAGATGCAGCACCAATCCGCCTATCGATCTCACGCTCCAGTTTCCCCTCATTCGTGAACAAGACCCCGAGATACTTAAACTCCTCCACTTGGGGCAGGACCTCATCCCTGACCCAGAGAAGGCATTCTACCCTTTTCCGAATGAAGACCCACTCTTAAGGGCAACTCTTCCAACCAAATAAGTATCATTAATTCACTCAGCCTTTTTAATAACTATGAATAGTACATTCTCTTATGGGGTGAGTGAAGGGTTAAAATAAAAATTACTTTGTGTAATAAATAGTTTTCTATGTTCAATTGTCTGTTTTTTTCTTTATTACTAAGCAAAATGTTCATCAGGTGGTAAAACACAAACTATTTATTTATTTGTTTGTTTTATTTATTCATCTATTTATTTATTTATTTATTTATTTATTTATTTATCTATCACACTAAAAAAATCAAACCTTTTTATGAGATTAGGATTAAATATGAGTCAGGTCTTGCTGATGCAGGCAGTTCTGGGATCAGTGGAGCTATTTCTGGTTAAAAATCTTCACACCGAAGATGCTCGAAACAGCAAACGAATTATTATTCCAGAGCAAATTAAATAATTACTCCGAATAATCTTGATTATTTTTAGCGTGGAGCCTCTTGCCTGCAGGCGGAGGTTAAACTAGTGTTTTTCTAAAGTTTTAGCCGCATCTGGCCGCTATAATAAGGATGGAGCAGGCTGATGCGTGTGTGAACAAAACACTAAAGAGTATCAGACGCCTCTAACTCAAACAAGGTCAGACAAAGTTGGGGTGAGTCGCTGCACGAGTAGCAAAGCCTCGTTTTCACATCCGTCATTGCTTCTTCTCACTGAAAACACCTGACTTGAGTCCTCAGAGGGCAGAAAAAGGCAGGTTTTGTTCTGCGGTCCTCTCACTTTCTTGTCCCTTCAGTAACTGGATCCTGACTTTTGTCCCATTGTTGCCTTAATTACTTATTGACTTGGGTTCAGAAGGATCTGCTTACTCCGGATTTCTTTCCTTGGCTTCGGGAAGGCCGACCACGTGGGAACTGCAGGCCGAGGCTCCTCACAAAGATCGATTTCTAAATTCAAAGATTTAGCTGAAATGATTTGTTTAAATCTCAGACTGTTGGCAGCTGATCCACCGTTAGAGGGAGTCAGAGGATTTTCACATCTTTTCCTTGAAAGTGCAGCTGAAGTTGAAAGGCTGAGCTCTGTGACTTTTCCAAGTGTTTCTCACAAAGTTTGGCTCAGGCAGTAACCCGACTGCATCTTTTTCAGGTGTCTGCATTCCCACAGGAGCCCGTTTTCCAGCTAATGCAAGAAGATCACTTATCATAGGCTGATGTGCTCTAAAATGAACAAAAGCATGACCGTTTGAATGAAATAAAACAAAAGCTTTATTTTTATGAATGAAATCGTCTCTCCGCACAAATCCTGAGCGCTCCAGCTTTTTGCACGTCCTGCGGTTTGTTTTTGTTCCACGGCGTTCCCGTTTTAAAAGCTGGACTCCTGCTGTTCCTCCTGAAATGTGCAGGTTGCATGCCTGACCTCATCCCAGAGAGAAGTCAATGGGTTACACATGGCCCTCCAAATCCCCGGTGAGTGTGTGTGTGTGTGTGTGTGTGATCATCTCCAAACAAGCTGGGAGTCATTGTGAAGATCTGATGAGTGTTTCGCTTTAAAGAGAAAAAGGTGCTTGCAGACGCTCAAACGTGCAAGCGGAGCAGTCCAGTTGGGCTTTTACTCTCAACGTTGAAAAGAAAACCATTCTGCATGGAATAAGGGGATGGGATTAGCTCAATCCCACGTTTGTTGCACACATGCTTCTCAGAATGAAACCAAATAAAAACAAACACGAGTCGGTTTTAAGAAACATGCATACAGTGTTTATTTGCATCCAGGACACATTAAATAAAACTACAAAGATACTTCACTTATACAAAAGATAGATTATATCCCATTCACATACAAAAAAACAATAATTTACTGTATAAATTAAAATTTCACTATTTTGCTATTTACAGCAAGATGAAAACAAAGCTCTGGCCCCACTTCCCGCGGGGCTTCTGCGACGCCGTTTTCATGTCATCCAGCACGTCAGGACATTCCCAACCATTTGGGAAGAGACGGTTCCCAGAGGAACTTTCCAACCGACTGGAGGACGGGAAGGAAAAAGGGGAGTTTTTGCATATTTCACCGAGCTAACAAAACAAATCTACCCTTCTTAGATATTAGCCGTCAGATTTCGTCAGCTCGTGTTTGATTTCGGTGCGCATTAATTCCCCCGTCTACTCCTTTTTGTTTTTTACTCCCTCGGCTCCGTGCACGGTCGCTCGGAACGCCACCGAGCTGGGGGCATCTGCTCATGTCCTGCAGTAATTAGCACGAGTTGCAGCTGAGCAGATCATAATGCACGGCCACATTTAATTTACAGAATTCCAATTAGGGAACAAAGACTTTTCCCTTGGACCTGGAGAGTCGTGCATGTTCCGTTTTAAGTGCTCGGGTTGCTGATGGGTCCATTTGAGTTTAATTTAATAAAAACCAGAACGAGCACTGCTTTCTGTTCCAAGTACAAGCAAAGATTAAGTGCAATTGAGTGTTTCTTTGTAAGGAAATATTTGAGGTGACCCTCTGCAGAAACCACCGCAAGCATCCGATCCCACAGGAGGAATACCAAGCTGGTGGATTCTGACCTTTCACAAGTAGTTAAAATGTCACGGCCCTGCACAGAAACCCGCTACAGCTGCAAACATGCTGTCAGCTCGTGGGTAGTACCATTCAGTGCTTCCGTGTCTGAGTGCATTGTTCCCACTCAACCTTAGGCCTAAAATCTGCAACACAGGAAGAAACTTTGAGTTTGCAGCACCCCTGATGCCGTCGGAGCAGAGAAAGCTGTTCTGTTTTAGAGCTTCTTCCAGGAAAAAGTCCTAAAGAAAAGCAGAGAAGTGTCTTAAAATGGAAAAGTGGTCATAAATATGATCATACCCACAATGAAATACACAATATACAACAACAGTCACCCCCTTTCTCCTGTAATCCACAGACCGTGTGAACAATATGTTCAGTAAACGTCCAAGACTACGCGGAAAAGCACAAATGAAAAAATAGAACATCTGGTTTGTTTGTGTTCCTGATGGAAGAAGATGATGTTTCTGTTTACGATCTGGAGGTTGTTGTTGTTGTTGTTTAGGGATTAACTCTAACGTTATCTGCGCTGATGTCTGTCAGAGATCCCGGCTGACTTCAGAAACAGATGTTGGGAATCTGAGGAATGGGAAGGGGAGATGCTGAAGGCACTTAAACACCATCAAAGCGGAAGGGCTCCCGCCCACCACCAGGCTGAAAAAGCCCTCAGATGCTCCTTAAATGGCAGTTTGTCCGCTAACAGCACATCTGAGTGACCGAGGCCTCTCCTCCACACCCGGATGCTGAGTGGGCGAGGGCGCGCCCGTTCATTTGGGTGTTTTTGCTTCGCTGCGACACCTTTGGGTACCGCCAGCTCCACATCACCACAACCCGTTTCCCTCTCCTCTGAAAACAAAAATAAACAACAACAACAAAACAAAGGGAACAGCAAAGAACAAACGGGTGACCTCCTTGGAGGGGAGGGGCTCCGGCTTTTGGCTGTTCACCCATATGAGGCAGTTACGTGTGACGAAACCTCGGAGCTTCCACGGCGTACGTTTGTCATCTTCTCCTCGACACCGATGAAGTTAACCGGTTCCCGGCGGTCTATTTCCTGTGATGAGTCTGCAGTCCGGAGGGGTTGGTTTTTGTTGGAGGTATGCTGACTGGAAGGGACGACGACGAGAGATAAAAATGGCCTCCTGCGTGTTACAAGCGGCCTTTTGTTCTCGTTGGAGCTGCAGATCTTCCTCCTTCCAGGCCTTCACTCTCCTCTCTGACGCTGCAGTCCTTGACAGCCTCGTGCGACCCTTCGTCTTTGGTGCTGAGAGGGATGAGGGTGCGCAGCCTCTCCAGCCTAAAGGCCACTGTGCAGCAGTCACTGAGTCAGTTGTCATTAGCCACTCAGTCTTTGGCTTGTTAGCATAGCGCCTCATAGAGCTTCATTGTCTGAGGGCCATGGCGTCTGATGACCCTTGAACAGAGTGGTGGAGGATGGCGGGGATTGGGTAATGGTGGACAGCAGCGGAGGCGCTAGTGGCCCACCAGAGGGCTGAGGTCGCTGTGATGGCTCTTTAGCTTCTTCTTGAAGACGGAGATGGTGGAGGGTCGATACAGAATGATCCACGGCTCGGACGACACCGTGCTCTGGCTGCAGCTATCGGAGCCGCTCACGGTCGGGATGTTTGGAGACCTGGATCAGAAAACAACAGGAAGGGAATAAAGAAAACAGCAATTAGACCACAGAAAAGGTTAGAAAGCCTTTTTTTAAACTTGTCAACAATACGCTGCTCAGCCTAGCAGTTAGCTTATCAGTCCTGCAGGATGCAAACCCTGTTTCTCCAAACATAGGCCTCTCTAGAAGCCATTTGAAGTTGGTAGAAATAACATATCATGACTTTCTCTGAAGTCGTAATTAACCTATGGGCGATACAAAACATGCTCTCAAGTTCTTTTGCTCTAAATAGCTCTCACACAGTTTCAGTACCTTCCAGAATGAGTCATTTCAGGGATCTGTCACTTTAAGGGAGACTAGCTGTAGCTGTACACCCCCCCCCCCCTACACACACACACGGCTATAAGCCGAGAAGCTCTGAATGGGCCTAGAGTAGAGCCGCCGCTGCTCCTCCAACAGCAGCTCTCTTTTGCATCTGAGAGGTGTTTCTATTCTGATTTCCTCGTTTGTGACATCACAAACAAGGACTTTTAGAAACGACTTGTTTTGGCCATGTAATTTCTGAAACTAAACACAGATGGATGGATTTGTTTTAGTTTGGACTGTTTGTAGCGGCAGCAGAGACCCGCATGGTGGCACAAGAGGATGCAAAAGGTAAGTTTTGCATTCTATATCCTCTTTAAAATGGCAAAAACAAAAAAAATTAATAATAACTGGAAGTTTTTTCCCACCAGAAGTGTTCTCCACCATATAATTTTTTATAATTCTCACAGGAAATCTGTGCAACACGGTTTCTCACGCCGTGACACTCAGACTTACTTGACTGTGACGTGGAGCAGCAGCTTGGCCACCATGGCGATCACCGTCAGAATGAGGAGAGCAGCCAGAGCGTAGATGGTCCACACTGCAGGGAGGGAGCGACAACAAAACATCAGACGCCCTGTCGTCGCAGTGAAAACAAACCGAAACACGCTGAAGAGATTAGCAAGCAGAGAGTTATCCAAGCGCTGCTGGCACACCTGCTAGCAGGGTTCAGCCAGTAAATCGTTAAGAAACAGAGACGCGTCATCAGCGCTCATCTGTCGTCTGGCAGAGAAACACACGAGGCAGCTCGTTCAGGGAGAGCATGCAGGGGCACGGGAAGGAGAGGGGTTGCAGGCATTCGTAAAGCGCAGGAGACGTCAGTCCAGCCGGGAAAGACCGGACATTTCTGAGCGGTCGATCATCAGAGGGAACAAGAGGACTTCGGGGGTTTAGAGAAGCGGAGCAACGTCAGGTGAATCATTTTAGAGAAATGAGGTCATGCTGGACGGCAGAGTCACGGCGTGTTGACATACTAGAGCTGTGGCCGGTGGCCTCGCCGCGTCCAGGCCACTGACCTGGCATGTTGTGCTGCGAGTTCCCGGGGCTGGACGTGATCACGTATCGGAACTGGGAGGAACGCCCGCTGGACGTGCTGTTGGGTCTCTCAGTGACGCCGCTGGCCAGATGTGGCCCCAGCGTGCTGGTCGCCTCGTTCTCGTCCTCGTCGCCGCTCTCTGCAGCTCTGGAGTCCTGGATTCTGATCGCTGCAGAAACCACACACACACACACACACACACACACACACACACACACACACACACACACACACACACACACACACACACACAGTCGTTCCTGTTAGGTCACGGAGCTCTGACCTATTTATCATTCTAACATAAAACTTCTAACTCAAGGGATGAGCCGCGACACAAAGAGAAGAGCTCAGACAACAATCAGCATCTATGTTATGTATGTTATGTATGCATGTTGTGTAATATGTATTCAGTTCTTTAAGAACACCAAAGATAACAGTTTGACACATGCAGAAGTAGTTCAGCGCTCAGGATCTAAAACCTGAAAACCTGCCATGGAGCGGCCGACCCTCGGGGACGACTCGTCTCACGCCTCCTTTCACATCTTTGCAGGTTTTATTTCCTAAAGCATCGTGACTTATTCTTCACCGACACTCGTTTTGTCATCTTTCTCATTTGTTTTTAAGGAATTTACTGTCAAGGTCAGGAGCCAACGTTTAATAAGAGAAACTTTCACAGAGCTTCAGAAACCCACCAGAGAAGGTTTCTCGTCTCTGGGAGCGACGTGTAAAGAAATCGGGGCTGGGTTAAAACTTCCTGACAGCTCGACAGTCTCCTCAGACTTTCTGATTTTAATTCTCAGTGACGCGAGCGGTGAGTGGAGCAGACCACGCCAGAGACACGGGGAAGAAAAACACGTTTCCTTTAATCTCCTCAAGTTAAAGAGCAAGTCACCCCCAAATCAACTTTATTTTCCTGATAAACTATATAAATGTGTGTCTAATCGTGCTGCAGACACGTGCCGTCAATAGTTTTGTACTTTAGTGCATTTTAGTTCAAATTTAAATATTCTGTCTAAAACTGTCAGTGTTGTGCCGTTGTCAGGTAAAAACTCTGCACTGCATTTGAATTTAAATCTGCCATCCCTATTGGCTAAGAGGTTCCCTATAATGTTAGCTGGTACCATATGATGTCACAATGTCGTTGTGAGCGTGTGTGTGTGTGTATTTGTTAGCGGCTCTGCCCTCTCGGCAGGGGCGTATTTAGGACTGAAGAAGATCCGGGGCTTAACACACGCACACACACGTGACATGCACTAGTCAACATCATATATATGTGTCTTGTACCACATAATTTTTAATCTGAAGCTACATATGAAGCATATTCAGGGCAGAGTATTGTTCCTGTTAGTGTTTAGTGTGAGATGATGGTAAATATTCCCTTTCTTTCTCCAACAACTTTACCTGATAAGCTAACTTTAGGCAAACCAGCAGCACAACAAATATTTTCTAATAAGACTCACAAACCTGAGTCAGCACCAGTCTCATCAAAGCTGGGGTTCTGTCGCCGTACTTTTGGTCTAAAAAACGTCCTCATGTCCATCTTCACTCATGCGTTTCAGGCAGAGAGTGTAGAAGAAGCCGGCTGCTGAAGGGCTTCTTCTTCAGTGGTGGAGGCTCAGGCAGGCTGTATACAAACTACCGCCAGCTGCTCCCTCTCTGTTGGACTTTGGTACTGCATGTTACTTCCACGTTTGAGATCCGGGGCTTTTCATTAAAGATTCGGGGCTTGAGCACAAGTAGCCGCCCCTGCCTCTCGGTCTGCTAGGCAACAGCATTTGTTGCATTTTTCAAACAGGAAGTGGGAGTGGAGTAAGATCTGGTAGGGGGTGACTTGCTCTTTAAAGATGCAGATCACTTAGCGCCTCTAATTATCGCGCAGCAGACTCGCCAACGCGACCCGTTGTGTTCTCTGAAAGCAAAAACTGCCAACCTAGCGGTTTGTGACAAAGCTCACCGAGCAGCACAGCTGCAAACACGCGGCGTTAGACGCTTTATTTTGTCAGCCAGACAAATGAAAGTTTTTAATGAAGTCGGAGGGTTTTAAAGCTCCGGGTCGGGTTCATAAAAGAAGCTGCTGGGGAGCTAGGACAGTTCTGACCAGGATCCCAGATGAAACCATTTCCTAAATGGGGAATTTGCTGCCTTTACTTTACATTTTATTAAAAATCTCACAAGTATAGGATTTTGTCAGCTCAGGTTACTTTTGAATGCGTTTCAGAAAGTCCAGGTCTGTGTTCCTGTACCGTTTCCTGTTTGTTCTGTACACATCCGCTTACACTGACTATTAGTCTTGATCCACTTATTTACTCACAGTTGGAACGTTTCCACTGGGAGAAAGAGCCGGGTCGGACCGAGGGTCCTCCCGGGCTGCAGCCAGCGACGGACCGCACCTTGTGGATCCAAAAGCAACATCTGAAGTCGTTTCAGACTCTTCCAGTGTTCAGTGAACCAAACGTCCACCTCCAGAGACTCTCAGGCCCGGGTGCCGGTTCCCTCCACCGTGGATGGTGGTTGAATGGTAAAGCCATGTGGGATTTTTTTCCCCCCACTTTTCACATAATGGCTCAGCCTGACTCTGATCTTCCCGGAACGTTCCACATGTTTCCCATTTGCAGACAAAATATATGCTTCAAACCCAGCAGCTGAAATGCACCATCGTCCTCATCTGAGAGCGTTTAGCCTGAAATTACTGCCTCAGCCACCACCGCCAGCCAGGGGACCGGGTACAGGTACTGAAGCTTAACCAGATGTTACGATGGGAGCAGCACGATGACACAGCTGCTCTGCAGCAAAAAGGTTGCAGGTTGACATCTCAGCTGTGGCCTTTTCTCCTCATGCATGAATGGGTTTCTCTGAATGCTCCAGGCTCCTCCCACATGCCTAAAACATGGCTGCTGGGTTAAAGAGCAAGTCACCCCCAACCAGAGTATTGCTCCACTCCCACTTCCTGTTTGAAAAATGCAACAAGTGCTGTTGCTTAGCAGACCCGAGAGGGCGGAGTCACTAACCAGCGTTGGGAACGTTACTTTAAAAAAGTAATTAGTTATAGTTACTGATTACTTTGTCAAAAAAGTAACTCAGTTACTAACTGAGTTACAAGATCATAACAGTAACTAATTACCAAGAAAAATAACTACTTAGTTACTTTTTTCAGTAAAGAATGCAAGAATTACTACAATATAAATGACTAATGACTGGAACATAATAAAATGTCCAAATGTTTTTTTATAAACCTGAATAATTTAAATAAATAAGCACTTAACAGGAGGAACTACTAACAGGAGCATTACACTAATCTAGACTATTAAAAGGTCACTGTGTGATTTTTAACAAGACCCCAATCAGCTAAAATTTAAAATTGCAAATAGAAACACCTGTAAAGGTTCCTGAGCCTTTAGATGGTATCTCAGTTTGGTATCTCATTTTGCACAGTATTCTAATTTTTCCAGCTTCACATAATTATTAGCAGCATTTCTGTTGCTGGTAATCTAGTAACTGTTAAATACATAAATAAAATCCTTTAAAATGACACTAGAAGAGGCACAAGCCTGATGGAGGACTTACATTTACTAACGTGGGTCAGACCCAACCACAGAAGAGCTGAAGCTGGGTGGTAAACACACACAGGTAGTTCTAGAAACACCTGAGCTCCATGGCGTCTGAGACTGATGCATCAGTGTTACGGCGGGACTAAAGACATGATCAGGAACAGGTTACAGCTGGATGATCTAGGAAGGTAGAAGATCAGGACGTCTGAGCGGTGAACAGGTGAGCGGACCTTCGGGACGTCCCGCTGTCACGCTAAGGGCACGGCTGCAGACCGGCAGATTCCCACCTGCAGCAGCGAATCTGCGGGGGATCTGCAGCCGTAGACTATTCATCACGTCTTCCTCGTTCTCCACGGCCGTGATGCTCTTGGATGAAAACATCTGCCTCTTTAGCTCCTGATCAGCTGATGATGACAGCTTCAACACACCGCGCTGCTTAACGCACGCATTTTCTTATCAGTAACAGAAACAACGTTTTGATAAGACGTAATTAATTAGTTTGCTCGTTACTGAAAGAAATATTTTTTATTAACGTGGTTATTTTAAACTGAGTTATTCCCGTTGTGTCTACAGAATGCAGCGACTGAGACAGTGAGGGTCTCCGCCCACCCGGCCAATCATCATCGTGTTTGTAAGCGCGTTACCGACACCTCTCTCTCCCTGGCTGCAGCTGAAGTGTGGCGGTCAGAAAGCCTCACACTGTTGCTCAACGTTCGACAAGCACATAGTAACGCATAACCTTCCGTCCCCAGTAACGGTAACGGCGTTGCAACGGCGGGAAAAGTAATTAATTAGATTATTCCGTTACCTAAAAAAGAACGCCGTTATACTTAAACGGCGTTACTCCCAACACTGTCGCTAACAAATACACACACACACGCACGCACGCACGCACGCACGCACACACACACACACACACACACACACACACACACACACACACACACACACACACACACACACACACACACGCACACACACACACACACACACACGCACACACAAGGGACTGTCTCAGCTGTTTTTTACGTTAAGGAGTGTGCACGTACAGCATGCGCGCCTCGTGCACGAGCCTACTGTTGAAGCTGCCGTTACGCTTTTGGCCTGAGGGGGCAATCACGAGCATAAAAATTCAAAAGTCTGTAAAGTCCCTTTAAAAATGTCATCGACAACAACACGTTTCTAAACGTCTATTCTTTAAGCTCAGATGAATGTTTTACAGGAACAATCGTGATCTAAAGGTACTTTCTCTCTCCCACTTCCCCTTCTCCCTGAATCCACTCGGAGTTTTTTTCAGAAAAAGGGAAAATATTTGATTTGAAGAGATGACCTTTCCTCAAATCGCATTTCAGTTTCCATTTGTGAGCTACACGCCGCCTCATGCAAAACGAGAACCGTGGTTTCAGGAGAAAGCACAGCGCCCGTGCAGAGGTCAGAGGATTGTGACCTTCCGATATTGTTTTAGTGCAACGCCACGGAGCCAGAAACACCAGGCGGGAATACAAATGGAGGCAGAGAGGAAGAGGAGGGAACAGATTGCCTCTCGCCGAGCTTGAATGTCACCTACCCAGAGCTTTGCTTTGGCTCAGACTTTCCATAAATGTGTCCGTTAGATTATTTTCAGGTGTATTTTGGGTTTTTATGACAAAACAGAAACCGAGCAAGGAAATTTTCTCCTATTTCTCCTGTTATAGTCAGAGACGAAGTGCAGCTTCAACTTTCTGAGCGCTTTAGTTTCCCTGACTTCGGTCCTCGGTGAAATCAGGAACCAGACGGCGTGATGACAGTATCAGAGCATGTAGGTGGCACACAACCTGGCTGTGCGGTTCTGCTGGGAACAGGCTCTGCTGCAGCGTGATAACAGAGCGAGTTCCTCAAAAAAACAAATCTTTATCTAAATATGCAGAATCACCTGCGGCTGCAAGACGCCGACTCACAAAATGAGAGGAGAGGGACTGAGAGCAGCGGGAGAGCTGGTTTTTATAAACCAGGGCTGATATGCAAAACCAGCAGCACACGACCAATCATGCAAATACAACTCTGGGTGAGCTCAGAGCAAATAATCCAATCTGAAATGTAAAAATCGTACCCTGGTAGAGGAGAGCGAAGCCCTGGGCCTGGTTGGTGCGGTCCGAGTAGAAGTACAGGATGACGAAGTCGCCCGTGACGTTCAGCAGCTCCCGCGGGGGGCTGCGCCAGTCGAAGCGCGCCACCACCTGGTTGGTGTAGCCGTCCAGAAGCTCCACCATGTCCGTCTGGTCGGAGATGTCGAAGAAGGTGAAGTTGAAGAGAATGGCGGAGGAGCCGGGGACCTGGACGGTCCAATAACAAACGCGACTGGCTCCATATTTATCAGGGAAGTCAGGAGAGTAGATGACTCCGGATGGAGAGGTGTAGTTCCCGCCACAGGCTCCCACTCGAGCTGGAATTAAAAAACAACAACAATCTTCTTTTAGTTTGGGAGCTGGTTAGAGGTGCCAGGAGGGGTACAATCTCAGCTTGACTGTTGTTAAGTGTGGATTTATGAAAATTGATCCACAAAGATGAATCTTTTAAGATTTCACCAAAACTTTGTATTTCTTGTCTAGTTCACAAGTTAGAAAAAGTAGATTTTCTGTCAAAATTTAGATCGAGAGAACAACAAATCTAAATGTTACACAAATGTGGCTGATTTTTGTTTGAATTGTGTGTTTTTTATCATTTAAAGGAGAAATGAAGACCTCTAAAGGCACTAAGGAGTGCACGATTTATGCCTAAATCTGATTAATAAATACTCCGCTTTCCCTTGATTATTAGTTACACACTTTCTAAACAGTTAATTTAACAGAAATCCTAACCTTAAATGTTTTAACCCCTCATCTGCACTGCGCTGCCCTGGGTGGCTGCATGTTGGAGTAGCTCTGTTGACTATATGTAAGTTTAGCCTTTTTTGGGCATTTTTTCTTCTAGTTTCTCAAAAAAAAACTGTCTTTTTTGGACACTTTACTTTTCTGTTTCTGGTGCTGTGAAGCTTGGAGGATTTTTACTGCTATTTTTTAGCTTTTTTCCACTTTTTGAGCATTTGTTATGATGCGTAACCATGGCAACAAGCTGGTTTGCAATCGGGAGCAGCTGATTAACATTGGAAAGGCTGAAATAATACTTCAACTGAAGCCACAAATCCCAAATGAGCTAAAACGCAAGAAGCGTGGGTGCAGAGCGGGAGCAAACGGAGACAGAAAAAGAGGAAATTCAAACCATCTCCTCCATCGATCATAATGGGCGATGTGAGATCACTGGCCAACAAGATGGAGGAACTCCAAGCCCTTTCAAGGACTCAGCCAGAGTTTCGGCAGTTTCGGAACCGCTGGAGGAGATAATGCAGAGAAGGATTCTCCAGAGAATCAAGAAACTGATGGACAACCCTGAGCGTTCTCTTCACAAGACTGTCCGACAACGGAAGAGTGTCTTCAGTCAGAGGCTTCTTCAGTTTGGCTGCAACACTGACCGCTACTGGAGATCCTTCCTGCCAACAGCCATTGTAATATACAATAACTCTTTGATGACTTGATTATTGTTATTATTCTGAGCTACTACAGCAATCAATTTCCCTCTGGGATTAATAAAGTATTTTTGAATTAAATTGAACTGAATTGTTAAAAAAAACTGGTTGAATCATAAAATAATACACCCCACAACTAAAACTATTACCTACAGTTTTGACCACTTCTGTGGTCTTCTTCAGAGCTAGCGGCTAGCTGTGTAGTGGAGTTGCTAATGCTAACGGTTAGCTTCTACTAGCTGTGACGTTCTCTGCTGTTTCCTGGACGCTAAACCAACAACAGCCTTCCCCGCCGTGAGTCCAGATGGGTGAGTCCATGAATGTTATAGACAGGGTGACGTAGATCTGTCAGGATTTTCTAATCCTAGAGTTTCACCGTCTGTTTCCTATCAGAAGCTAACGCTAATCTGCCAATACTAATCTGCTATACTACAAAACACTCCCACTAACGTGAGCCATCAATTGCAAACAAGCTTTGTTCATTTTCACTCACAAAAATGTGATTTTCCTACTCCCCCACCCCCACCCCATTTTCATGTTCAGCTTTTTTCTGGAACTGCGCTGCTCTGGGAAGTTGCATGTTGGAGTAGCTCTGTTGACTATATGTAAGTTTTACCTTTTCTTGGGTATTTTTTCTTCTAGTTTCTCAAGGAAACTGTATTTTTTGGGACATTTTACTTTTCGGTTTCTGGTGCTGTGAAACTTGGAGGATTTTTACTGCTATTTTTTAGCTTTTCTCACTTTTTGAGCATTTGTTATGATGTGTAACCATGGCAACAGTCTGGTTTACAATAGGGAGCAGCTGATTAGCATAGGAAAGTCTGAAATAATACCTCAACTGAAGCCACAAATCCCAAATGAGCTAAAACGCAAGAAGCGTGGGTGCAGAGCGGGAGCAAAACGGAGACAGAGAAAGGAAATTCAAACCATCTCCTCCATCGATCATAATGGGCGATGTGAGATCACTGGCCAACAAGATGGAGGAACTCCAAGCCCTTTCAAGGACTCAGCCAGAGTTTCGGCAGTTTCGGAACCGCTGGAGGAGATAATGCAAAGAAGGATTCTCCAGAGAATCAAGAAAATGATGGACAACCCTGAGCATTCTCTTCACAAGACTGTCCGACAACGGAAGAGTGTCTTCAGTCAGAGGCTTCTTCAGTTTGGCTGCAACACTGACCGCTACTGGAGATCCTTCCTGCCAACAGCCATTGTAATATACAACAACTCTTTGATGACTTGATTATTATAATTATTATTCTGAGCTACTACAGCAATCAATTTCCCTCTGGGATTAATAAAGTATTTTTGAATTGAATTGAACGTATTATCGTCACAAAGCCTCATCAAATGAATCTGAACCCTTAAAGCCTCCAGATGGAGCATCAAGATCAGCACCTTCATCAGAAACCACCACACCCAGACCTAAACACGTCTACTGCCCTCTGGTGGAGCACCTGCAGGTGGCGAGGGCCGACTTACTTATTTATACGATTACAGAATTACATAATAATCGGATTATTTAGTTGCAGGCTCTGACTGGTAACGGCTGGCGCTCACTGTCAAAGACGATGATCCATCCATCTCCTCCGCAGGGTTGGGTGTGATCGCCGAAACAAACGTGGTTGCACTCCATGTTGGACGAATCGCTGGGCTCTTGCACTTCTACTTCGTTGCCACAGAAACAGGCGTAGCCCGACTCCATACCGGCAAGCTGAAACACAAAGACGAGGAGTTAGCAGAGGTAAAGACTTATTTACAGTTTGGTCTGAGCCTGCTTTAAACTGAATTCTGCACAAAAGGTTTTGAGAAACAACAAAACCTGACCAACACCTGGACTCCGGGTTTCAAAGGGTCATCGTTCAAAAGCGCCGTTCTTCCAGTTTCAGGTCCCAAACCAATTACTATTGCATCACCTGCTTTATTTTATTCATGTTGTCACCGTTTAGGAAGTCACTCAGCCTCTGCAGGCCTGACAACGTTCACGAGGACAACCTTGTTGGAAGCGAATGACAGGCTGCTGCCACACAAAGTCACACGGATCAAGACTTTCAGGCGCTGACGTGCACCGAGGATAGTGACAGTGAAAAGTAAGGCAGACGGTGCCAATCCATCAGCGTTTCCTGGAAACATCTGTCCAGCTAACAGGGGGGGGGGGGGGCTGTCAGAGTCTGTCAATGGAGACGGAGACGAACCGGATCCGCTCAGACAGAAAATCAACACCTGGCACCATTTGCGGCTGCGACAATAGTGGAGATGAGGGAAGCGCTCTGCAGAGGAGTCGTCCAGCGGACAGACAACCGTTCGTTTCCAGCTGTCGGCTTTCGCTAGCGTTGATCCTGCTGGTTGGTTATAAACAGGATGTTGGACGGCTGAACGCAACAACTGCTTCAAATACAAAGATTTACATAAAAGCCTGCAGGAGGCAGTTCATGTCTAATAAACAAAAAAGAAAGTGGACCAGATGCTGTTTCATTAAAGAGCAAGTCACCCCCAAATCACATTTTTTTTGCTGATAAACTATATAAAGGAGTGTCTAATTGTGCTGCAGACACATGTAGTCAATAATTTGGCAGTTCAGTGCATCTTGGTTAAAATTCAAATATTCTGCCTAAAACGGTCAGTGTTGCGCCGTCGTCAGGGAAAAATTCTGCACTGTATTTGAATTTAAATCTGCCATCGCTATTGGCTAAGAGGTATGCTATGATGTCATTTGGTATATTATGATGTCATAATGCCATTGTGAGCCGGTGTGTGTGTGTATTTGTTAGCGGCTCCGCCCTCTCGGTCTGCCAAGCAACAGCATTTGTTGCATTTTTCAAACATGAAGTGGGAGTGAAGTAAGTTTCTTGTAGGGGGTGACTTGCTCTTTAAAGAAGACAAACAACTTTTTTCTTAAAGGTAAATCGGTTCTACGGTCGATGCCAAACATGTTTATGGAGTTCTTTAAATCCCGCTCACATAAAGCTGTTTTATACTCGACAGTTTCAGTACCTTCCAGAATGAATCACTTAAGGGCTCTGTCGCTTCCAGAAAACAGGCTGGAGCTGGCCACGCCCACCAATCCCCTGATTGGCTGCTTTGAGCTGAGAAGCTTTAACTGATTCACTGCCACTGATGACTAAAGTCGTCGTTTTCATGTTTTCACTGTGTGGGCGTCGGACGAGCCCCCGCACCGTGAGAACAAACGTCCCAGCTCTGAAGCCGATCTTCATCCGCGTACGTCACACGTCACGTGATCAGGAAGCAGAACATCCATGTGTTAGGAGATCGTTTTGGGCCGCTGCTGTAAAAAAAGTGAGGCGCGAACCGGAAAAGCTTCTGCCGATCACAATTCAGATTTCAGATTTATTGGCCAAGTAAAATTACATTCACAAGGAATTTAGCTTTGGTAGATGTTCGCTCTCTAAAACACACAACAACTACAATAAATGAGAATAAAAAATACATTAAAATATTCAACAACAGATTATGAAAGAACGGATGACGCTCAAAACGTGCGGATTCTTCCTGATGTGAGAGGTGAGTCTCCGCTTTGTTTTGGTAGTTTTGGCGTCTACATCATCCTAGCGCGCAACTTTCTGTCACTCTTAAAAAAACAACCAATAAAAACGGTGAGAAACGCTGGCAGCGAATGCCTTTAGCGATCAGGAAACGGTTGGCAGCGAATGAGTTAATAGCCAGGAGGGGCTCAGAGTAGAGCCGCTATTCTTCCTGGCAGCAGTGGCTCTACTCCAGGTGAGAGATTTGTGACATCACAAATGAGGAGTTTCTGAAACCGCTTATTTTAGACCCGTAATTCTTAAAACCGAACACCGGCGAAATCACGGATGTTTTTCTCTCGTTTGGAGCGTTCACAGAGGCCGGAGCGACCCACACGGCAGCAGAAAAGGCTGCAAAAGGTGAGTTCTGCGTAATACGCCCCCTTTAAAGCACAAAGCTCACCTTGTATCTCTGCTTGCGGCAGAAGCTGATGCAGTTCTGGATGGTGAGTTTGTTGTCAATCTCGCTCTTGCCAGGAAGCGTGGGGGGGTTACCGCTGTCCCTGAAGCAGCCCAGGTTTCCGGGCACTGCAGAAAAAAAGCAAAGACAAGGAAATCAGACTGTTTTTGCATTTTCCACGCAAACATCTGGTCACACTGAGGGTAATTTTACATTTTCCCATATTAAGAAGGATTAGTAGAAACACATGCCCAAGTTTATTTATTATTTGTTTATTCAAAGTGATTCAACAAACTCCAACGGCGCTAGAAGCAAACCAATAAGGTGTAAAACCTATCACACATACCCAAAAAGCATGACACCAAAAAACAGAAAGCGTGAGACCAGGTTTGGTCTCTGAGATAACCCTCCCACTGTCCTAATGGGTGTGACCCCACCAGGAAAGGTGACCATTGAGGAGAGTTGATGGTTTATCACTTGAGGTCCGCGTGGCAGGGGTGAGGAGTGAGCACCACCTCACCCCTGCCACGCGGACCTCAAGGGAAAAACCATCAATCCAGCTCAATGGTCAACTATCCTCGCGGGGTCACACCCATTAGGACAGTGGGAGGGTTGAAAAACAAAGATAAGTAGGAAAAAGTGGGAGGAGGGACGGGAAGTTTGAGCCAAAACTCCAGAAAAGAGGAAATTAGAAGAATAAAATATTAGACGTGACGATAAATGACGCCCGATTAGGGATGGCTCATCCTTCTACTCTCGTGATTGTGCGAGCAGGAAGAAGTTGGATGAGTTTTATGTGCCAAGAAAAAGAAAAAAAAAACGACCATAAAATCTCTTTCCAGATATTATTAAACAAACTGCAACAACTGGAAAGAAGCCAACCTCTTAAAATCTATATTAAAGTCCGCTCTACATGATTGATCGTGTTTAATTAAAGTAAAAACCTGATATTAAAGTAATTATTTAAAAAAGAAAGCCCCTTCGGATTTCAGGCTGCGTCTTTTATCGGTGTTTCTCGCTGCTGCTCATCATGTTTGAAGCCAAAAGCTGCGATGGGTGACACGGGCGCGCCAACAGCAACAGGACGGACGGCAGAAACAACTTTTTTCAGATCCCCCAGTGATCATCAGATACGCCTCAATCTCAAGTACAATCTCTCTGAATCCATCCAAGTGATTACACACTCCAGAGCCTTTAAATTGAATGTAATAGCTCTGGAAGTGCCAATAAAGCCTCCAGCGGTCCACATCCCATTTATGATTTGTTTTCCATTTAAATGGGTTTACTCGTGTTTCGGTTCAGCGTCTTGAGGTGAAGCGAATTTGACAAACTGAAATGAATGCACAAACTGAGCAATTTCCATGACAAGTGTGGAGAAAGAAAAGAAAGTCTCCTGGAGGGGGTTTCATCCTGCCGCGGGGTGCAGAGGGCCTCATTAAGAAGACGAGAGCGAAGATTCTCCAATCAGGACTCGAAATTCCCTCGAAAAGATTGTTCCTGGGTCGACGACGAGTCCAAGGACGTCCCGCCGAGGCCCACACCGGCGTTCCAGCTCCGCGGCTCTCTCGGAAATCCTTCAGGAGAGGCGAGCTCAGCTGCTGACAGCGAGATCCGCCTGGCAACGAAACGACAAACGTGGACTTGCACGTGACTCGGGCTCGACGTTTACAGCCCGCTGCAGTCTAAACAGCTGACACTGGTGGAGACCACACACGGGCACAGGCTCTGGGAGGATGCCAGCGTCAACTCCTCTGGCTGGAACAAAAGCCCGTTTACATGCACGACAGATCCTTCAAATTCTTTGGGTTTGTGGGAGAGCGAGACACAAAGGCTGTGGGGAGAAAACAAAAGTGACATGTTTGAGATTCTGGGCAGAAATCCGTCCACCACAGGGCGGCTGGTGGACGGAGAAACAACATAAAACGCGCTCTGACCGCCAAGCGACTGACGAGCCGTCGCGCTCTGCTGCTCTGACGCGTGTTTGACAAATGACTCGGCAATTTAAGACAAAGTCCAGCTCCTAAATCCTAAGCGCCGCTGCGTTTTCAGCCGCAGTCAGGCCGCAGCTTCAGAAGGGAGTAAATATGGCTGTTTGGGTCATTTACTGACACTCGGGGGCAGAAACGTGCAGAGCTGGATTACGTGTCCCAGGTTAGAGACACACCTGACATCTTTGGCATGACTTCTATTTTAGTGCAGAGAGCAGGAAACACTGCTTTTTATCGTCTGTCGCTCAAGCATGAACTGGACCGACCCCTGCGAAGCGCGTGCAGCAGACCAACAGACAACAGAGGGGAGATAAACACCTGGTTAGGAACCGGCAACCTCCCTCTGAGCAAGGCAGGCGGGTAAGCACTTCAATGGTGCTTTCTGAAACGCAAAGGGGGGGTGAAATGCCACAGCAGGGCTCAGCAGCCAGATTAAAGGCAGCAATGCTCTTTTTTCACTTTGCTTTGACAAGATGATTGCAGACTGCAGTCGATTTATCGCTTTGGTCCTCTTCTCATCTCGGGCTGTGAAGTTCTGGCTGAGAAGCAGCGTAAGGGATGGAGTCGCAGGGAACTCGAGGCCGAGAAGGCGCTTCGCAATCTGTGCACCAACCGTCTTTAAATTCAGCAAATCTCTGAATAAAAACTCCTGAGCGAACGCGAGTCTCTGAGGAACATCTGTGCTGCAGGCGCGACAAGTGCAAATATGCTCGCGGGCACGGAAAGAAAGGAGCGCAAACACGTTTAGCACACTTCAAAGTCGTCGGTGGAACTTTCATGAGCCAGGAGGAGGAAAACGAAGGAAAAAGGTGCATAAATGCTCCTGTGAGCCGAGAACAGACACCTCTGGTGATCGCAGGGGAGGGGGAGGCCCAGCTGAGGCGAATTGTGCCTTCCCACAATGCAACGCGGTCATAATCAGACAGAAGGAGGCTGGGGAACGTCTGACAAGAGCCCGACCGGAGCAACAAATACTCAAAGGAAGAGTGCAGCAGGCGCCGGCGAGTTGATGCAGGCAGGTCGATGAGCTGAGGGGGACAAACGTGTTATTATGGAAACAAAATTAGAAATTCCTTTGACATCTGGAGGGCAAAGAGCAGAGAAAACACAAGCAATGAGATCTGAAGGCATCTCTAATTATTGTAAATGGGTTCAGTCTCTGCTCGGAAGCACACGGCACGGCGTTCCTGATGAAGCAACGCCGAGGACACGAGGTCAGATGTCAGGTCACCGAAACGCTCCGGGGCTTCAGGTGGAAAAATGACCTCGATACTCCGTCGTGATCCTAAAAACGCGCCAAACAGACACAATACTAACGGAGATGAATAGAAACGTGTGACTAGAATTATTTGAAAGGAAATTAAATACGTTTGAGGCAAAAATCTCCTCATTTTTCCCGATTTCTACATTTTCTCCTGCCCAAAGTTAAGTTATTTATATTTTATGCAACTTTTTCAACTACAGTTCAATGAGCTGCAGCCCGGCGACTTCTGGGTTTGTATAATAAGTAGGGAAGCAATGATACCCCTTTTTTCCAAACCGATACCGATACTTGGATCTGAGTACTCGCCGATACCGATTACCGATACCGATACTTCTACCACACACAAAAATGCAATGATTTGGAATACAGATTTTATTTTCTTCTCTGCTTTCGACAGGAAAAGACTGCGAGGAAGATAAAAAGTAAAGTATATGAATAGAAATCATCAAAAAACTAAAATATTAGGTGAACAGAAACAACAAGTTACGGTGAAGCCATTTTAAAGCAACTGCATTGGTATCGGTCAACTTTCACAGATACCGATACTGGTATTGGTATCGGCACCGATACCAATACCAGTATCGGTATCGGTGCATCCCTAATAATAAGTGATGAGAAATGTGTCCATCATCTCCCAAATGAAATAAAAAATCTGATGATTTCTGATCAGAAAAAGTGCTTTTTCATCATTCTCGCTTAAAACATCCAGAACTGCAAAGAAAATCCAGAAAAACCTGAAAATACTCCTGCAGGTTGCATCACTGGTTCATCAACACCCGGAGACCAGAGAGTCGTCAGTGCCTCTGTGCTGGAGAGCGACTGCGAGAGAGGCGAGGTATGAGGAGCAGGAGTTGAAAAGCTAAAAGGCTCATTGGAAACCCTTAAAAACACAAGTTAGCTTAGATCCTCCTTCAGCTCATTAAGGCACCACCAGCAGCTCAGCTATTCGAACCTGACGCACATTTTCATTGTTCCCGGCGCTATTTATTACCCCTTTTGTTGTGCAGCGTGCTCGACGTGCAAACAAACACAGCGGCTGCATTTCATCACGGCTGTGATTAGTCTCGCCGGCTTCACCGCAGCCCACCAGAACACGGGGAGGTGCAGAGAAACGCCACAGACTCCCCCTGGAGTTCATGGAAACTCCGAGTCTGTGAAGAGGCGGGAGCTGCTTGTGTGTTTCGGCTGCTTTGGTTTCTCTGTGCAGATCACAAACCCTCCTGCTTGTAAATGTGAAACGTTTGACATTCAAAGATGCATCATTGCACCGAGAGGATGATGCAAATAGAGCACGCCGACTTTGCAAAGCAAATTTTGACGTTTGCGTCCGCAGAAGGGCGATGCATTCGAGCCTTTGCTGTATATCATAAATGTTTACTGCTTTTATGCGTCGTGTTGTTCTAAGTAAGCATTTCTGTGTGTTTGTGAGCAGGGTGGAGGCTGTGCTGCAACAAGACAGAGACGGAGGAGATCAATGCCCCAGCCCGGGGCCCTGGGATAGTGACTAACCATCTAATTAGAGGGAAGGGAGAAGAACCGGAGCTTTAAATGAATAATTAGTGTCTTCTCTGAGTCTAGGCTGAACAATGCAGAGAAGAGATGAAAAATGGGCGCCCCAACGCGCCGTCGCCTCCGCCTCGGACAAACCAAATAGCCCGTGTCCCGGGGAGAGGCAGGAGACTCGATACCGGGTCGGCTGGGAGATGAAAACATGAGCAGATACTCAGCGGGCCACCTCGGGTGAAAGACACGCACTCACGTCTCATTTATCTGCCGAGGCGGCTCGCGCCGCTCATCTGGAAGCCAAACGGTGAAATGCATGGAAACACGGACACTTCTTAGAAATAACAGATTCGAGTACGCTCAAGCGCACGTT